CACTCTGTTCAAGTTATATTTGAACTTATTGCTTAATTTGTCAAGCTGAGCATGTGCGTCGGTGGTTTCTAATCTTCAAAAAACGGTTGATTTGGAAGTCGAGAAAATAAATTCGTTAAAATTTTAAGTGTAAATACGTTCAAAAAAATTAAAAAAAAAAATAATAATCATTACAGTAACTAAATTATACCGCATTTTTCTGAGAAAATATTTGTTTATAATTATAATTATTTATATAATAGAACTCATTGGTGTGTTATTTTTTCTATTTTGTATTTCTAATACCTTTAAGTACTTATTTTTTTTAACACTATACTTGATTTATTTATAGATATATTTTAAGAAAACTTTTTATTCTTTAAATAATTATTGTACACGTAAAATAAATGGCTAGGGAAATACTTTTCTTGTTTCTCGACATATTTTAAACATTGTAGGATGTTGTCTTGTGACTTTTGAACCGTTTTGTTTTAAGAGTAGAAAAAACGCAGCATTTTCCAAATCTGTGGGCATTGTTGATTGTTCAAGAGCAACTTTACCACTTTATTTATCCAAAAGCAAATCTTGCTTTCAGCTGCAACTGAATGAATTTCCTACTATCGCTTTAAAATCACTAGTTTGTATAAATTAACTCACTTTATCTTGGGCAACAATTAACTAAAATCTCTTCCGCAATTAAAAGCTCTTTTAACTCTTTAAAAATAAAATGCTTTTGCTCTCAACAAACAATGCACTCTTAAGTTTTTGTTTACCTATTGTGAACTAGTATTTGCTCGTGTCGAGTTTAAGCAAATTGTTTAATTTGTTAAGCTGAGCATGTGCGTATTCAGTCTTGAACTTGACAAAATATGGTCACTAGGGAAATCGCTACAGTAAATACACTGGACTTTTGTTGGAAGATACGTGCAAAAAATGATAAAAAATATACAAATTGAATTGAAGGTAGTAAAAGACAGCTGTTTAGTTGAGTCTCAGGGTTTGACGGGTTAAAAGCCTCGTTATTTATATAGTTAAGTGCCTTGAGGCATATTTTCACAGCACGTATAATTTCTATTTGTTTGCTTACATTTTTAATAAAGTAAGTCTGTTACTTTACAAATTTCCCAGAGTAAACACACTTTAAATATGATTTATGACCATCTAATTAGCAATGGCATTTATGCAAATTTTTCCTTATTTTAATAAGGTGCTACAGATGATTTAAGTAGACTGAAGGGGAAATTAATCATGTGTGACACTACCGGATATCATATAGTATATTTAGATAAACAGTTTTTTGGCAATGATTTGGACAGTGCAAAGTGCAGATTAGTCAATTTGTTTACATCCGACAGAACTTGTGACTGATAATAGATTAAAGAGGAAATGGGGGAAAAGGTACAAACCCGGAAAGCGATCAATGCATATATAGACCATTCACCAGGTATATTCCCATTTTATGAAACCTTTTTACTTTAACGCCCCTGACTGATAGCTTTAATTATCCAGATCATTTGAGTTCACCTTGCAATAAGCTTATTAAAAATCAAATTGAATAATCAACAATTAGCAACAAGTGCTGTTAGTCAACGGAATTAAAGCAAGCCAACTGGCAAATAATTAAAAAAATTTAACGTGCGAATTCAATTTGTTCGTGCCGTATTGTATGAAAAACTTCTTAACAGTCTTGCATTTTGTTAGCAACTGACTCATTCACAAGATTCACTGGATCCATTTGCGCAGTTTTAAAGTTGTTGACCCACTTCGCAGTGCACTTTCCTATCCGATTACATTTGCTTGATATCCAAAAAATTCGATACCCGACCGAAATGCATTTCGAAATATCATGGGTAAGTTGAGAATGATAGATGAACTCTTGCATGCCTTGCCTTGGACTTCAAAATAATAGCACAGCGAAAATTTGTGTCAATTATCTATTTTTCTTAAGCTTATAGAATAATTTCCCAGGCAATGCTTATAAGGATTTACATTTTTTAGATCCCTATATATTATAGCATGTTGACGAAAGTTGATCTAATAAAATATCCTTTTTGCAAAGGTATATTGAAATTAGATTCTAAAATCGAGTCCTAGTTTATTCACCAAAAATGTTGAAATAAATAAAGATACTACACATCCGGTAATAATTATCTAATAAATACGTTGTCTATGTAAAAGGCTACTTGTTTTATTCCTTCACTGTTAAATTATCTTTCCCAAATTTCGTCAACCACTTTGGAGTACAGCCTTACGTTTCTAGCACTATTTTCCGGTTAGTTAGTTCTGAGGGTTCGGATTCCGAGACCTGATAATAACGGCAACGACACCGATTCGCGCTGCGAGGCGTTCAATGAGTGACTGAACCTGTGTAAACCCTCCCAACTGAACGAGAACCAATACCAATCGGCGACAACAATGGAGCCAAGCGAATGGGACCCCAAGTGCGAGGTATCACGCGAGTTGCCAGCGGCGGCATGAAAAAGTAAAGCAATTGCAGATGCAACAAGTGCCAAAGTGCCGATCAGGCAGGTTGATGTACGTAGATCGGTAGCAGGTAACACACATTGCACATATAATTTAATTCAATTCAATTCGATTCGATCTGATTCGATTGAGGAAGGCGGGGGAGTTGAGGTCGGCCAGCGAGCGTCACGTTTTTCAGGTTGGCAAGTGCCTTCGCTCGGGGTTTCTACACTCTTCAATAGTGGGGAGATTACGATAAGATGTTTGAATTTCTCGATGGCGAAGATCTCCGAACCTTGTGATTGTTTATGGTGGGAAAAGCTTATCAACTTAGTCGGCTCTGACATTCGTAGATCCCGAACAAACCAATAATCGAAATCGTATCGATTAGATTTCAAAGATATTGTGTCATCGGGTTTTTGAAGATATACAATATTCTAAAGTATGTGAGTTTATAAATCCCATTTTTGCCAAGTGTTTTTAGGGTACTAAGCGTTTCGTTATAGTGTTTACTCCTGGTTAGCTGCTAATTAAAATTCCAGCTCGTTTTAATTGCTTTTAGTGTTAAGTTAGGCAGTTTAAATGCGAGTAGCAAATTGCGTTGGCTTATAAGCTTTGTTTAGTGTTGCTACTTTTAATGTAAGTAGCACTAATCATTGTTCAGTTTATTGTTATACTATCGGAGCACGTGGCGTATGCGTAATCTGAAAATACCTAAAAACAAATAACACCTGTTTTTTGGGACAAACAAGAGTTTCAAAAGAACTTCGAAAGATAATAAGAAAAGGGAATCACTTTTTTTTTAAACATTAACACACGTAACAGTACTGAGGTTATTTAACTCGATACAAAACGGTTAAAATATGCAAACCACATTTACCCGTCTAACTGGAAACGCAGGCTAATTTTAGAATTATTTAATTTGAAAAGTATATCTGTACATTTTGCGAGGTACTTCCTATGCTAAGATGGCAATAAATCCGAAATAAAGTGCAATAAACATTTCTGCCCCGAGTGAATAACAAACAATCGCTTTATTGTACGTACACTTTCGAATTATTTCCGGCTGCCACTCAATCCGCTGGAGCAATGAAAACCTACTGAGGACTTGTCGAATACGGGCCTAGAATACGGCTCTACAAGCTGCAATCGACATTATCATTATCGTAAAGTGGGCAACAGATTAAATTACAGATAAGATGTTCGCAGCATTGGGCCATATAAATCTTAAGATATCACTCGGCAACGGCATTTCGTATATGACAGGCTTTGGTTAACAGAAAGGGTAATCAAACTGATGATGGTGGGAGGTGAGGGTCATAAACTGGCTCTCTTTCTATAGCCGTGCAGTACACTTAAATCTAATTATCGGACTAGCTGGGAGTTGCCAATAATAAATTAATTGGGTTCTGTTTCCGTTTCCGCAATACTATATCTCCCTTGGCTGGCGAATCCACCGTTTAAATTAAATCCGTTTGGCGCTCATTTAGCACGTACGGAAACCGCCAAAACCAATTTCACACCGCAGCCGCAAAGCAGGGAACACTTTTTTACTTTGCCCCTGGGTTATACATTGTATTTCAAAATAAAACATGTTGTTGACAAATGGCAAAATAAAGTGGTTGAGGCTGCCAGGGAAAGGGAAACCCGTATTCACTGCTGTAAATAATTCACAATTGCCTGTCAATTTCGAGTCACTCCAAAGTTGTCATCCCTGCAAAAGGAAAGTATCCCTTATGGGGCTAACTATGGCCAAAGCGAAGGCCTGTCGACAGCAAGATTGAGTTGACAAATTGTCAAGGCAATTTATTATAGTAATATGTAGGGAATTCCGGAATGCCAGCGAGTGCTGTTTGGCAAACATTTGTGTCAGTTGCAGTTTTGCAGTCGTCAGGGAGTCATTTAAGTAAAGAAAGTCTGCAACTATCAACTTGTGAAATATTTCAAAATATAGTTTTAGTACATTTAAGCTATCAATATGTTAATCAATTTCTCTTACCATTTAATACTGTGTTTTGCACTTCCACTTACTCATATTTATTGTACAATTAATTTCGATAAAGCTTTGGCACTTCCCTTCTAATATCTGTCGCCTCTGGCGAAAATCATTAAAATCCCATAAATCATGGTGAGACAAAATACGATTGCTGCGGTGGGAAAACTACTGATTTTGGTTAGGGAAATGGGAAAATGCGAAAACCAGAGCACACTACTGGTAACTATACATTTATAATAGGCCGTATTAGGCCCACATTCTGTTATCTACCATTCACACGTGGCCATCGTGGGAACAAAGTTTTCAATTCGAATGTGGCCGGGCATAAAAATGCAAATAAAATGGCCTGGGGGAGGGTGAATAAAATCATTGCCAAAAGTAAAAATGGAGAATAAAAAGTAACCGCCAAACACGAAAAGTTTTTAATGCAAATACGAAAATCGCGTGGAAACATGGCCACCACGTCCTTTGAAATCCCCTCTATCCATCCCTCCGTTTAACGAGGCGTGCTGCAATTTTCCGGCGCGAAAACAGGAAGTGAGGAAAAGCGTTCGCCCCTGCATAATTTCGCGATGCGAAAAGTTAACGCAAAGTGTTTTTATTTTCTCCTGGGTGCAAATAGAGTATATAGTTGTTTCAGCAGCTTAAAGGGATTTTAAAGCACTACGTGAGATAGATGGGTCGGGTGAGAAAGCGCTTCCAGGCCAGTTCCACCAGCAGTATGATCACGACCAGGATGTCGGCGCAGATTAGCATCAGGAGCAGGGGAGCCACGTATTCCATTCCCACGGTGATCACGAAGTTCTGGGCCACGCAATGGAGCTTCATGTGGACCCAGTAACTGCGCTGCTTCCGATAGACCCCCGTTTCTAGGACCCTAAGGAGTCTGAAAAAAATGGTGTGACCAAATCTTTATAATTGCAAAGTTTTCTAGGACGCTAAGGAGTCTGAAATAAAATGGTGTGACCAAATCTTTATAATTGCAAAGTTTTGAAATCAAATAGTGTGACCAGGAATGCAAAGATTTTAAAGCATTCAAAGCATTCAAGGCTTTACGAAAAAACTTAGTCTCTAAACACACTCACCGTAGTCTGAAGAGCTCCTTGTACGTTGAGTTTCGATGCAAGTGCGTGTAGAATAACTGCTCGGGTCGGAACAGAACCTCATTCAAGTCACATATCTGTTGGGCCGTAAAGTAACGCTCCACGTAAGCATAACCGGAGGAGGTCTCAAACACGTAGACGTAGCCAGGATTGTCCCTAACCCTTAAGACACCTTGTTCAGCGGGCAACCAAAGCTCTGGATTCATTGTCTGCGTGTCGATTTTGCGTTTTATAAACAAATGGATCTCTGGAAGTCTTGAGTACTGAAATTAAAAATATTATACATATTGGAAATTAATGGGAAAAATGTAAACTAACATTCAGATAGCTCTTGGTAAATGGCAGAGGTTCTAGGCCCACGGTTAAAGAACTCTCCGCCAGCTGCTGCATAGTCTTGATTTTTGACTTAACGGGGGAACTGAGCAGCGAAGAGACCACCACCGAAGTGTAGTAGTTATACATGATAAAGCTAATCAGGAACAGGGCAAAGTATATAAGTCTTCCGCCGGCGGAGCGTGGAATCAATGACGAACTTTGGATGCATGCTGCCCCAAAACTGATCAGAAAAGTGGTGAGCAGCGAGGGCAGGTAATCCAATCGCCAGCGTTTTCGCATCCGCTTGCACTCCATATAAAAAGTGATCCACAGGAGGACTCCGATAAGCGAGAGCACTCCCCCAAAGAGATACCAAACCAATGGACTGAAGGGCTGCAGGAATACGTCTCCCCGTAAACCGGCATTGTGAGGAGTTCGGAAAATACAAACCGACCGGAAGAAGCCCGTCTCAATAATGGCTGACAAATACTTGAGTCTGCCTTCCGTGGCCAAAGAAGGCGTGGCTGTGATATCTGCCGACTGATCCACCACTGCACCCACCGATCCACCCACAACATCCGACTTGCTCCAGCTATCTGAAAAGATGAACTTCATCCTGCAGAATATTAGTAGAACACAATTTAAAGAGTCTTATTTCCCGGTCTAACATACTTACTCGCAATGTAGCAGGTCTCTCAGGATTAGGGTCAAATGAAACCCGAATCTGGCCAATGAGTCTATGTGGGTGTCGTTCTCCTGGCTCAAAAACCTAATAAGTTCATCATCCGACCAGGTGAGTGGTCGTTGGGTGACAACCGTTGCCACTAAAAGAGTTCTTAAACTCATTTACTTTTATCTATAAAGTGAAAACTTACCTCTCAGAACAACATCCGTTAGCTGCTCCCTGTTCCCATATTTAGAACGCTTTTGCAAGGAACTTAGATACCGAATCCTACGACATTCATTTGGGTCACAAGACATTTCATGGGATCCGGTCATATTCAGCTGACCACCAATGATTTTGCCATTGTTGTAGACATCATAGACGGCATAGACAACCGAGGAGTAGTTGGCCTGAAACTCCTCCTTTACATAACTTACATCCGCATCAATGGATATGTTAAACGGTGCAAAAAGTTCGTAAAACTCCAAAACAGACTGGTTGCCATGCAGAAGCCAATGGTAATGCTGATTGTAGATCTGCTCCCGACTGGCCTAAAATAAAGTACATCTGAAAACAAATTATAACTTTACGGTGTCGTATAGAATCGAACCTCCTCCAATAATTCCTGGGCCTGGTCACACTTTATATCCACATAGATCCCTAAGGTGGGTTGCAAATGTCCCATGTAATTGAGCTCTATGTGTGACCAGTTCTGAACTCCCTTCATTTGAACAAACTGATGATAGGCAAGAATGGGATGAATGGGCTTGGTGAACTGCTGAGCAAACTGAAAACCTAAAAAGAATAGAAAGGGTTTACCATTATCAGAAGTGAATAGAAGAAGCCTGCCCACTTTCATCGCTCTGCCAGCAGTGAAAGAACACAATGAATCCAATCCGCGATTGCACGAGATTGTCCAGAATAAAGTTGGCCAACTGCACCAGCTGCATTGTTGACTTATTCACTTTGAATTTCCTAGGCCGAAGGTCCCTTTTATATGGCCAGAGAGTCCTCCAATTTGGCTGTCAACAATGTGCGTTGTTTGTTTTTAAATTGCCCGAAATTGCTCGACAATTGCCGATGACCTTGGCCTGGGCTGCTTACCTTAGCGGAGAGTGCAGTGGCGGTACCAGATGACCTCCAATCCCAGTAAGCCCACACAGAGAATCATCGCACCCAGCAGCAGGATGAAAAGGGGAGCAGCGTACTCCAGACCCACGGCTACCGTGTGATTATGCTGGTAGCAATGGAGCTTCGTTTGCATCCAATAACGCTCGTGCTTAAAATGAACTCCAGTCTCCAGCATCCGTAACTCACTAAAAATTGAATATGGGAATAAAGCAGCTTATAAGTAATTGTAATCTCTGCTTAAAATGTTATGATTGGACAAGAACTAAAATGAACCACGTTTAATGCCCATTAACTATTAAGTTAAATAAGATCGCGAATTCTTCAGAAGCACAAAACAAATCTCTTTAGATTTACCTTAATATTATAAAAAAAAATTGTTTTATATAATATGGTTCATATAAAAAGATTGCAATGAAATGTCGTGCAATTGTTAATAGAGTAGTTGCTAAAAACCCACCAAAGTTTGAATAGCTCCGCATAGGGCGACTTCTTTGCCACGACCGAGTGGGTATGAGAGGCATCGCGCAGCGGAATCTCGTTGAGCTCACAGATCTGGTGGGGCAGGAAATGCTTCCTCACAAACTCATAGCCCGTCGCCACGCCGGTTATGTAGACGAAGCCCTCTTGATCCCTCACCGACTTGATCCCATCCTCAGTGGGCATCCAAATGCGATCCGGCGATCGTTTGCTGCCGAGCACCTTGTTCCGATACAGACTACGCACATCTGCCTCCTCGGAGGTCTCCACATAGGTGCGGGTATATACCGTTGGTTCTATGCCCACCTCGAGGCTGCTGTCCGCCAGTTGCTGTAGAGTCCGGATGTTCGACTTGATTGGCTGACCCAGCAACTTGGACACCACAATGGAGGTGTAGTAGTTGTACATCAAAAAGGAGGTCATCATCAGGGCAAAGAAGGCCATTCGGCCGCCCATCGATCTTGGGGTAAACCAGGCCCCTTGGATACATCCTGCTCCAAAGGAGAGCAGGCAGCTGGTCAGTAGCGAGGGCTTCCACTCCTTACGTCGCTCCAGAATGAAGGTGATCCAAAGTAGACAGCCTGCCAGGAGGAGCAAAAGTGCGAATGTCAGCCATACTCCTCCGCTGAAGGGCTGCAGGAATTCCGTAGCACTCAGGCCAGCGGAAACGGATCGGGGATTTCGGAACATGCAGATCTCCCGGAAAACACTGAACTTTGTCAGGGGCTGCAGAAATATACCGCGATCAAAGGAATAGATGAAAGGAGCTATCGCCAAATCAGCCACATCCAGAATGAGATCTCCAATCATGCCGCCCGTGGCATTGCCATCCGACCAGCGATCTCTAAATATGTACTTAAACCTATCGTTTTGGTTTATATAAGGTCACCATTATCATTTTAAGAATCAATACTCCTCACTTGCAGTCCAACATATCCCTCAGGGGTTGTCGTGCCTGATAGCCTATTCTACAATATGTATCCAGGTGAATTCTATCCTTGGCCTCCATAAATTCAAAGATCTTCTCTACGGAGCTGTTCAGCGGTAAAGCAGTAACCTGTTGGAAAACTTTTACAAGTGGAACTTATATCACTAAAAAGATCGCATACAGCAGCAGTGGCTCTCATGGTTAATCCAGTGAATGACTTTCTATGCTGCAGGGGACTCCTTGTGTGAAGATCACTCAGATATCGCTCAAGTCGACAGTCCTGCTGATTGCACGAAATTTCGCGATCGACTGTGATATTTAATTCCCCACCTAGTTGTCTTCCCTTATTGTACAGATCGTAGAGTATAAAGTTATCTGTGATAGGATCGTGCGTAGCATAGGTAACATCAGCATCAACAAAGAGCTGAGCCTCCTTAAAGTGAGTTTCTAGCTGGGGTAGGTTCATGGACCTATCGTAGATGAGCCAATGATATCGATGACCAAGAAGTCGTTTAGAACTGGCCTGTAATTATTTTTTTTTAAATACTTATTCAAAATAATTAAGTCTCATACTTTCCTTGTCCAAAACAACACCGCTTTGATTGCAATTGATATCCAAGAAAACCCCCAACTTAAGAATATTGTGATTAAGAAAGTCATTCTCCAAGTAGAGTTCCGAGTCTAGTGTTCTGAATTGTGTGAAAATATTTCTAGATTGCGCCAAAAGTGCTAAATGTGCAAGTGCTAAAACAAGAAGATTAAATTGGATGTCAAAGAATTACCACAGAATTATCCACTCACAGTCCCTTGACCAGCAGTGCAAAATGAGGACATGACTCAACCTAGCCATGTGAAGAAAGTTGTATAAAATAAAACTGTGCAATTCCACCATGGTAAGAACTCGAACAAAGAACTTTGCAATTAATAATACTGATTATGAGTCAACAGGGGCTTTTATAGGGCACACATAATGCCAGCAGAATGGACATAATACAAGTCAATTACTGAGTGAACTTGAGTTGACAACTTAATGGGTATGCGAAAATAAGTTATCGACAGGCCTGTCTAGTCCAATCAAAACTAAGGCCAATTTTCATGCAATTTAACTAGTTTACGAACTAAAAGTCACTCACCAAGATTATTAAAATGTTTTCCTTTACTGACTTTGTGGGAAAACCGTGCCCAATTTCTTTTTGGCATAACGTGCCCAGCAGATTTCCACAGCCAGGATCAATAGGGCCAAGAAGTAGGCCACCAGGAGGGATATAAACAGGGGAGCCGCATATTCCATGCCCACCTGGATCACAAAACTATTGGAGAACGTGTGCAACTTGGTCTTGCTAAAGAAACGACTCTGCTTTGATATGATCCCGGTTTCCAGCATTCGCACCTGGATCTGGGTGAGCAGCTGTCGATAGGTGGAGTTCAGGTGAACCATTCCGTAGACGGCGCTCTCGGGTCGCAGGATGATCTCATTCAGATCGGAGATCTCGCGCGGCAGGTAGTGCTTCTCCACGAAGTGATACATGAACGAGGCCTCCGAGGTGTACACGAATCCAGGCTGATCCCGCACCCGGATCACTCCCTCCTCCGGAGAAAGCCAGACGCTATTGGGATCGCGCTTGCTCTCCACCTTCTGTTTGTACAGGCTTCGAATGTCTGCGCGGGGCGAGGACTGGGGAATAAGTTTACTTGTCAATCCACAAGTTTTATAAAACACTATATTTGGGGTTGTTTATCTTATACTTGGGTTGAAAGCAGATAGTAGAAACTATAAGTACCTAAATAAAATAGTCTTAACTATTTATATATGTACCATATATGTACATACTTTATATAATTTTTGTTAAAAGTTTACAGAGGGAAAAACAAGTTTACCAACATTTCATATGAAATTATAGAACAAGTTGTACATAGCGCACTGTATATCACTTACATTTTGTAAGGACACATTTATTTCTTCATTGCTTCTAGCTGGTCGTTTAAAAAATCTTTCTTAAAATCCACCATATACTATTTCCAAGTTACCTTAAGTTGCTAAGTACTCACCACCAGATAAGTCTTGGTAAAGGGCACCGTGTCGAAACCCACTTCAAGGGAGCTGTCGGCCAGCTGCTGTATCGTCCTGATGTTGGAGCGCACTGGAGATCCCAGCAGAGTGGACACCACAATGGATGTGTAGTAGTTGTACATGAGGAACGAGGTCAGCATCACGGCGATGAAGGCTAATCGACCACCTGCCGACTTGGGCATCAGATAGGAACCCTGGATGCAGGCAGCTCCGAAACTGATCAGGCAACTGCTGAGCAGGGATGGGATAAAGTCCAGACAACGCTGCATCCAATGTCGCTCCAGGTGGAAGATCAGCCAGAGCAAGACGCCAGCGAAGATCAGGAGTCCGGCGAAGGCGAACCAAACGCTCGGCATGAAGGGCTCCAAGAACACGGCAGCCTTGATTCCTGCGTTGTGTGGCGTACGGAACATGCAGACGGCCCGGAACTGGGCCTGCTCCGTCATGGGATGTACGTAGTGCAGGCGATTCCAGGAGGGAACGAACGGAGAGGTACAGAGCTCAGCGGATTCATTGGTCAACATGCCGATTGCTCCGCCAAAAGCATCCTGCACGCTCCAGGTGCCGCACCAAATGTAGTGAAGCCTAAAAAATAAATGTTTAAGGGAGAAAAAATGGAAAAATATTATATATCTACCAATAAATAAATTAAAAATACATCTACCCTGTGTTCCGAAATTGATTTGATCATTCTGCTGTTTCAAGTTCAAGTGTTCTTGAAATTAAGCGTAAAGTGTTCTTGGCCTGTTGTTTTCAGAACCCCTTATTTTCGATCTCGTTTATAATGAAAACAAGAGAGAGACACATTATCTCAGCAAAACCACATATGGTTGGAATTGAAATCTACGTTAGTACAAGTTCAAAGTGTCCTTTGGCTTAAAGAGAGAGTCCTGTGACACCCCGAGATGAACATTTTGGACTCTGCGTTTTAAAATCTTGTTAAAAGCTAACTTTTGCTTACTTGAAACCGAGCACTTCCTGAGTATGCATGATAAGCCGATTGCCAATGCGAGAAATCGAGTCCATGTGGGAATCTCTGTCGCTATTGAGGAATTCGAGAAGGTCCTCCTCACTGGAGTTAATGGGCAGAACAGAAACCTGAAGGAAAAGTATCAATGACTTCATTTTCATTTCAGTTTTTAGCCAACTCACCAAAGCAGCCAATCGAAAGGTAACGCTCGATAAATCCAGGCGATGCTGCAGTCTGGGTCGCAAATGCAAATCACTGAGATAATCCTTAATCTGGCAGTGACTTCGATTGCACCACAGACTCTGGTCCACCGTGACGTTCAGCTTGCCCCCCAGGTGACTTCCCTTGTTGTATACATCGTGCAAGACAAAGAGCTCCTCCTCCTGACGACTCACATAGGTCACGTCCGCATTCAGACTGAGATTGGCTGCCTCAAATAGCTGGGTTAGCTTGGTAAAGTTACCCTCCTCATCGTAAAGCAGCCAGTGCAGATTTTGGTTATAAAGACGGGCACGACTGGACTAGAAAGGATAACATAATTTTCCAGAAATAGGTAAAAATAAATTTGTATAAAATATTGTATACAGAATATCCCTTTCGATATAAACATATTAGACAATTAAAAAATATTGATAGAGTTACATTATAAGCCCCACCTGATTTGTTATAAGTTGAGCTTGGTCGCAGCCCAGGTCCAAAAAGACACCCAACCTGACTAAATCACTATCCAAATAGTCCTTGTGTATGTTGGCCAAGTTTTCAGGGTCCTGTTGCAGGTCAATGTATTGCAAAAAAATTCCATTCTCATTCAGCATCTTAGCCAAAGGTAAGGCCTCTGAAATATACATTTAAAAACTCATGGGAATATTTAAATATTCATCTAAGATCCATAGCAAAACTCACCCTTTATCGACCAGCAGTGAAATACCATTAGATTGCTCAAATTGACTTCCAACAGATTGAAAACTATCAAGCGATACAAGGAGAGACTGGCCATCTTGACGGCTTTCTTGGATTTTGGCAGAACGACGAACCCTTTTATAGCCCAAAGCTAAGATGTCGAACGAGGCCAATTAAGTAATTAAAGCCAAACTTTTGGGGACAGCCGTCAAATTTGGAATTTTGATAGACAGGTCCGTGAAATTTTGGGACCAATTTTGGCCGTAGAGCAACAAGTGTTTTGAGAAGGGCGCCTGCGCAGGATTCGGTAGCGTAAACAAAAGTGCAGGAGGGATTTATGAATGAAAGGCTGGCGGTGGGTGGGTGCTAATGGATTCCTGAGCCGGGCTGGTGGTGGGTGGGATTGTGGGTCAGGAGGGCAGCGCCGCAGGCTTTAGTGATTTTGCGCCTTTTGCATGGTGCCTTGCCCCATCCCCATCCCAATGGCACCCTGCCACCCAGCGAATGCTGCACCATTCAATCTTCTGGCCTGGTCACAATATCATTTCGACTCAGTCTGCGTTGCGCGCTTGGCGCGTTTTGACGTATCTCCGAATCTCCGCATCTTTCTCTGGAAATTCACTCGGTCCCCGCTTCAGTTCAGTTCAGTTCGATTCGGTTTGGTTTGATTTTTGCCTTGGTTGGTTCGCTAGTTTGTTTATTTTCTCCGCTCGTGGTCGCCGTTATTGTCGTTTGGCTCTGGAGATTTCTGTGTATTTTCGGTACGATTAGTGCGGATAGATTCGACACAGCCATGAGAGCTGAAAAAACACAGATGGAAATGATTATTCCCAAATAATCGTGTTATTATTGTCTGTGAAAAGCTTCAAAATATCCCAATAAAATAAATAAATCAAAATAATAACGAAATCATGGGTTTAAAATTTAAATCAAATAAATGAGGTGCAGTGCTTTCAATTTAAGATTTGAATTTATTAGTGTAATTGTGTTTTATACATTAAGACACAGGAGCGTAAAATAACCAAACCATTTAATAAAATCAACTCATTTTTTATTATGCAATCGGTCGTTAATATTTTACAAAACTGTTTTAAATAATACAGATTATAAATTTGTAATATTGCATACATTTTATGATGTCTTTGTAATTTAACTTATACGAACATCCACCATGGCGTATGCGCAATATTTGAAAAATTGTTATCCTTGTATATTTATAAAAAGGTACTGTTAGTACGACACATTATTTTCGAACCTTAAAGTATTAAAAACGTTGATTAGTACGTATACAACATTTTAACATTTATGAAGAAAATTTATTTAAAAAAACTTTTTTCTTTCGAAAACATGCATTACAATTTGTTTTCTTGTCAAGATTTTAGTTCTCAACCAATTCAAAAATTTATGATTGCGGACCTTTGCTTTTCTGTCTTTATTTAAAATTCGTATATTTATTACTCAACTCTAGGGACAACAACCAAACTTTGAACGGTGCAAACACAAATCTGTTTCATTCTGTAGCAAACTCAAGGCACAGCCTATAATTGAACTGTCAAACACTAATTGCATAACCCTCCCACACTTTAGCCATTCTGTGTTCCCACAATTGAGTGCCAATTAAACTGTCCAAATCAACCTAATTAACAAGGTTTACATAATTTAAAACAAAATATATTTAAAAGTGATAGTGGTAACTAAACATCAAAATCAGTACATTCCATTTGTCCCATAATTGAAATAAATACATTTACTATTAAAATTCAAAATTAAAAAAAAGCCAAATGAAAATATTAAGAAGCAATTGAAATGTGGTCATCCGCATTGGGCCAACAAATGAAAAATTCACAATGAACCACAAATATGACATTTTCGATAGAAACAACTAAAACAACATGAAAGTGAACTGCAGAATAAAAACTGTGTTGGATGGCAGAGACTGCAGACATCGAGTGCAAATAAAATGCAATTATCGCTGATTTAAACGGGCATTAGAGAATCATAAATTTTCCATGAGCCCCACATGGCCGCAGGGTGTGGGTGGAAAATTCACTCCAACACCCGCAAATAATCCACCAGAGGATTTTGGTAAACCAGCAGAACGAAAACGAACTATTAACAAAAACTATTTACTGGGGGAATTGATTGGGCGACGGCATCCGGATGGAAAACGAAAAGAGTCAGAGCACGATTTATGAAATAATTTTAGCTCTTAACTTCTAGTAAAACTATAAACCCCGAACTTATGAGCATAAATAAAAACTCAAAAGGTTAAACAATTTGTATGTGCTGTTACTTTAGATCTTACGAAAAGTGTGACTTAAAGACTTAAACTTGAAGACGGACAGAAATTAAACAATCCAGAAAACTATTTAAAAGTAGATTCAAATTTATTTCTAAGCATAAGGGTCTTTCCGAACTTGGGCAGAATTTTGCCGGAATATCACATAAGCCAATATTAATTCAAGCTTAAGGTTAATAAGGGGCGCTCCGATTAACTTAAACAAGAATTAATTTTAAAGTCTTCCTCTAAAATTGCTTTTTTATTATCCTAAACTTTAGTTCTATCAGAACGTTTTTTCGTTCATTATCGCATAGTTTTAGGCTGCCTTAGACGAGTGTTTTTATACCATCTTATACTGCTATCCCGCCTTTCAAAGGCTTTTATCTTTTTTGGCAGATTTTGCATTTTTTGTTGACGCCGCTTGAGGCTGCGAAACATCTCTTAAATAGAAAAATGCAAAGCATAAAAAGCGGCAGTTGGGGCATCGCACTCTTGAGATTTACATTGTAAAGTGATCCCCTTGCCTCGTCGTCTATATATAGTACACAGTATAGTACACGATGCGGGTTCACAAAAAACTGCATTTAAATTAATTGAATTTTGTAGATTTTTTCGTCGAAGGGGCTGTCCAAGGGCCCCAGATCCGACCATTCTGTCCTTCGGTTCTATTGCTCTTATTGAATTGGTTTGGGGATTTGTTGGTTGACCCACAAGTCAAGATTGTGGCGTGTCTGGTGAGGCAGGCACCACAAGTTTACTTAAGCGTCGTCCGAATGCGTTTTGTGTGTCATTATTTCAAAGGGGAGCGGAGTGGAAGGCTCTTCCATTTCCATTTTTTGTATGCTCTTCTGCATTTGTGTTCATTAAATTTGCAAGTAAGTTGAAATGTTTTTGTTTACTTCCACAACTGCCCTGGCCAGGCCTGACCAAATGGAATGTTCAAAAATTATAAATGAGTTTGCGTTCCCATTAGTGTGATATAACAAGAGAGCCCACATTGAAGGTTAGTTTCTACAGAAACCCGATTTCTGCTGCACTTGAAACTTTTAAATCACAGGATTGCATTTAAAGGATTTTTAAAGAAATCCTTACTAAAACCCGCGTTTTACTACTACCCACGTAATGGATTTTTAAATACATTTTTTTTATGATTACTAACTATTTAATAATAATTAAACTAACTTAAATTTGTATTTTACTTCCTTTTCTGAACTTTTTATAAATATTTATAGCTATTTTGCACCTATTTCAATAAATTTTCTAAACTATTTTTAAAAATCATGAAATCTATAACTTGGAACGCGGCATTTCAATTTGATATTTTTAAGTTATTTTTAAATCATCTGTATCAATAGATTGAAAATAGCCATATTAGCTGGAGTCTGTGTCCTCCAAATTGGTTACTGAACAAGGGAACCCACTTAGCAGAGACAAGAGCAAACATTTGTGCATTATAATGCCCCGACAAGAGCGATTCAGCTGCATTTCACGCTTCCCTAATCCTCGCCAGCTCCATTCGACAAACATTTCCGCAGAACGTGAGCCAGTTGGGGAGGAATATCCGTATCCGACAGGGCGCAAAAGCTAAGGGAAGCTGAGATCGTGAATTCCGGGGACTGGGAACCGGGCACGTGCTTGTCGCTCAACTGTAAAATAATTAGAGCAATTGCATTGGCCTAGGGCCATAAAGTTCGTGGTGGGGCCATCGCATCCCATTGCAGCCAGCAAGCTGACCGCAGTGGCGAAATTTTTGACTTTCATTTAATTAAAATGCGATTTTAATGCTACTTAGGTTAACTGAAAAACTTGCGGCATCATTCTCATTCTCATTTTACACGCAAGGCCGCAAAGCCGTGAACTAAGCTGCTCATACATATATTATTCCGCATGCAACCGAGCGTTGTGGCAAAATTGAAGCGCTCATCTCATTTGCAGGCGTACAAATAATAATGCCAGCAGCCTGCTCCCGACTTCCCATATAAACCACCTGCTGCTGGGGCTTCCGATGAGCCACAAATTTTTGTGGGCGACCCCATAATGCACCCAAAGATAGGCACCAGATGCCAGGCACATCAACAAAATAAGGAACTCTTTGTATTTTAAGGGGGAAATCCGGGACTGGGGGATACTCTTTACCTACTCGACTAAAAGAGATCTATTTGAACAAATTGTTGTTTATATATTATGGTTAGTTTGTTACCTAATAATATTTTTGATACTTTTTATATTCAATATCTAATAATAAAGAACATACATTTAGCAAATCTTAAGCTTAATGTCAAGGCTAGGCAAGCATTTCTTCATTGCACCATATATTAGGTGACAATAAATTAAACAAAAATATCATACAATTATTTTAATTGCCGAACTAAAAACGATTAATTTGTTTAGTTCAAAGTAAATATTGACTAAGTCCCACCTAATTACAATGTGTCACAGCTGTAACTAGTATCTGCGATACTCCACATACCCTTCTTTCCAAGTGAACGCCTTTCAACAATGCATTTCCTTTAAAAAAAGATATAGCAAAATATTCCTCAGCAGGCAAAAGGGTATAAAAGGAGGGATGGGGGCTTGGGAAAGGGTACCGTCAGCAGCCTTCAAAAATTGAGTGCAATTTCGACGCTGATGAGAAAATGCGTTGAACGTGCTCAAGTTGCTCTCTGCCAAACCGAGGAAAATTGTTGGCAAGGCGAAAGTGGGTATTCCTACATTTAACTTTAACCCGTTCGCACCAGTTAACAAAAGGCGTGGAAAACGAAGACGGCTAGGCTAGAAATTATAAACGAAAAGGATGCTTTTCGGGGATGTCGGTTGATGTTTGTGCTTCTGACAGCAATTTGCTTGTTTGACGCAACTTGGCCATCAAAAAGCATAAAGTGAAGTGTAATTAACAGCCAAATAAAGGCAAGTATGTGGCTCTGATTTCAGGATGGACAAAAAAACAAAATTTATGGGATAGCTGCTTAATTTGGGTAAAAAAGGTTGTAGTAAAATGGGTTTTATATTTCTAAGCTAATGAATAAAGCCTAACAAAGTTGTTTATGTTTTCTAATTTAATTTGGGTATAATATATTTGAAAATTACACATTTTATAAAATTAAAGAAATTGTATTGAATATATTTCGATTCTCCACAAATTAAAATTCACCACAATTGCTATGGCATAAATGTTTACTTGCATCCGAGTGGCTTGGAAAAAGACAGGCAATCTATTGTCCTGAAGTGATGGCTTGGTTTTCCAATGTGACAAATCAACTAAAAATAATGTGAATTTCCTTCAGGCTAGGCCGTAATTAGCTGGCACAAGCGCCTAATCAAGTGGCAAGTAGCATTGACGTCGAGGCTAAATATGCAGAAGATGCTGGCTGATAGCAGACGGCCGACTTGAAGGCAACATCCAAGTGGCCGAGGAGCACTTGAAAGTATTGAAAATAGTTATCGCAACCTGGGGCGGATGTGGCGATGTGGGCAGAGGTGGGCACACTGGCCGGATGTCGGCATTGGCCAATGGCCATGCATCGAATTAGGTTAGTGGGTGAGACATAATTAAGTTATGGGGTCGCATTGTTTTTTCTATTTTTTTTTTGCCTTATTAAATGAGATGTTGTCTTGCTGGCTGGAGGACATCAGACTAGGGCACCACCGACGGCATTATTCACTCGCCGCCTTTGACATTTCCGGTTGATTTTTCATTAACGAATCGCCCGGCTGACGTGCTGGTTACGGCAGCGGCATCGGATTCTGAATCCCGGGCATAGTTGATCTTAATTACTTGCCATCTATTAAGCCGAAGTTCAGACAAGATTAATTTTATATTATGCTTACGGTGAAATATTACGGCTGCCGCAGTCATAAAGTTCACACTTCATTTTTTTCCCAAAGTGGGCTCATTAATCTTCGACATCTCCCAGACGGGCAATTTTTCGAAACTCAAGATTACGCATACGCAGTGTGTTATTATTAAAACATGATATTCAAGAAAGCCATTGCGCTAAAATAATTAATCAAAAGTTGGCAAACAGTCAAAAATTAAAAAATTCTTTTCTTTTTATTACGCATACGCCGAGTGTTCCACATAAATTTAACCCTTTAAGGAAATATAAATAAAATGAATATATACACAACAAATAACAAAATTCATAAAATAAAAGAACGTCAAATATACCAAAAACAATTTTTTACCTGTCTCAAAATAAGCATTGTGTGTTTCAGAAGATAATACATAAATTACAATTTGTAAACTGCCAAAATAGTGAATCCGTGCACATTAATTAAACGATAAGAATCTATCATAAATAGTCTAAATCTAAAAAATCAATTAAATCAAATAATCGCCAAATGCCAGGAACTGTGTTTGGTCAAACTAGCCACGACCTCTAATCTTAATAGTTTATGGCTGATGGCCGATAGCTGAAAATGCCGCTAGCTAATTGGCCAATCAAAAACTGCCAACTGCAAGTCCAACAAGTTTGAGCAATTAAAAAAATCTAAAGAAACTCATCGCAAAGGAGGCGAGGACACGGGCCAAGACAAACGGAACTAATGCCCGCCTGAAAGGAATCTCAGAAATTAAGAAGAAAGCGCTTCATGAAATTGCTCTCGACCCGAGTGCAACTTCCGGTGAATAAATGAAAATAAATACGAGCAAAGACGAGTCAGCACACAGCTCAGGAAAGAGGCACTGTCATCAGCAGCAGAACCTCTAGAATGGGAATTTTAATGGCGATGGGATTGGGACCGAAACAGGGAGTGCGAATGGTAATGGGCGTGGCAGCGGGAGCCAGGGGCCAGTTGGAGCGACAAAAGTTAGACAAACGGATGTGTAGATTAGACCGGCAACAACGGCAGATGACTTGGACTGAACAATAGTTGCAGCCAGCGAACAAACAGTAAACAAAACCGAACAATATGTGCACAATGCCAGCAACAACAGATGCATCCGGCTCCGGCGATGCATCAACTGACCTCATCGCAGCAAGGAGCCACTCCTGCCACCAAGGACGCCGCCTGAACTTGCGCATATTTAAACTTTTGATTAGCTGCTGCCTCCTCTCTCTGTGCATTTATCCAAATGCCTGGCACTTGTCCATCGGCCCAGGCTCTGGATCGGGATCGGGACTGGGATCGGGATCCATTTGGGTCTCGGCCGACAGCATCAAGGGACGCGGCGATGCCCACCGCCTGGACGAGATGGGCCCCCACTCCCACTCGCACACCTCCTTCTCCGCATCCGTGCCCTCCTCGTGGCTCACCCAGAGCAATAACCATGCAAATATATCGGAGCTGCTGGACAATCTGCTGCGCGGCTACGACAATAGCATTCGACCGGATTTCGGTGGTGAGTAAATCGGAGGAAGTATTGTTCCAACAAATATAAACAGTAGAATTCATAAATGGATTTAACATATATTTTTTATATATTTCTTTCTTATTTCCTGGTCCTGCAGGGACTTCTTTATAAATTAAAATAAGTCTGTTTAGATGTTCATTCTAATACTCCAGTCTTTTTGATAGGTCACATCTAACACATAAGAATATTTTGGAATCTTAATAGTACATTTTAAGTTGTTTAATTGTTATATCATTTTCAATATATCTTTTGGTCTGGGGGTAAAACTAATCCGAATCTTTTTAAAACATTATGTAAATGGTATATACCGAACATTTTCCAGGTATTTTAAGCTCTATAAAAGTTTTTATTTTAAACGTTATCTGAATTATTATTTATAGCTATAACAATATTGATCTAGATCTAATATTTTTTTTTAAACATTAATGGTTATATTTTAAATTATTATTATGTAATACTATGATACATATAGGGTATATCTAGTAATACCCTATATCAACCCTAGTTAAATCAATAATAAAAGTGATTTTACTTGCTAAAGATATGCTGAAATGACAGTCCTACCTAAAGTTCCTTCATTAGGCCCCCTGAAACAACCCTGATAAGGATTCCTGAGCAGGATAGCAAATACACCCCAAATCGCTCTGTCTGCCCCAAATCTTACGTTGTTTACCCTTTTGACTCTGTCCCTGGTGACTCTGTCTGGTGTAATCAGCATAGATTCGCAGATTTTCCGCTCAACGGAAGCATTTAATGAAGCGGAAATCGCTGCGAGGCGACACATCACTCACAAGCGGCACCAAGGTGATGGAGCCTCCCCTGATGATTGCCTCGCAGCTTATTTGGTAAATAGTTAGTGTTAAAACCGACAAATATTTACCTACATACAAACAAATTTTATTGCTTTTTGCCAAGGCTCTCAAGGATTTCCCCCACCCGGGAGCATTCTTCAAATGGATCAGCGATTCGATTCGTTTTCAATCTTGCAAATGGTCGAGGCAATAAAAATTTAAATATTTCCGAAATTTAAAATGCCATCCACTCAATTGGGGGGAATGGATTTTGGTTAGCGTGGCGAAAATTGTTTTCGTTCTACGGCTTAAGAACAAATTACATTGTTTTTAACACTTCATTAAGAATGGGTCGCGGACACGCCCCCAGCTGGAGAGGAGGGCGCCAGCTGGAGAGGATTCAAAGGATACGTGGCAATGCACATCCGCATCCTGCGAGCGCGACGCATGTTTGCCGAGCGAGCTCAGCAGCAAAGTCATTAAAAACTGTTCGCATAGGCAAAATACAAAAAATTCCTGGGGGCTTCGGGAGGAAGCGAATCTGGGGCCTGAAAAATTGCATATTAGTGCAGAAAAGCTAGATAAAAATGGGTGTCGGTGGGGGATGTAGGCAGATCCAGAGGGTTTGGGACTGTCTGCGAAGCGGCTTAAGTGTCATTGTTCACACAGAGGAGCATTTAACATTTTCATTTAGGGCCTGTGACTCGCATATGAATATTCATAGTTGAGCAAAACCGATACGGAGAGCACGGGGATTATATTGTTGGATTGCGTGGCCTTCAGTTGAAAGAAATTCCACTTTCCATAACTAAACTAGGCTGGGGATTGAATAGTAAATGGATTGAAGGTAATTTTTTACATCTTTGCAAGACACTTTAAGTTTTTATCTCACTCAACACATTTGCAAAAAGCAATTTAATTGAATTTTTCAATACTATCAAATATATTTTAAGCTACGTTTAAAATGGTTCTTTAATGATGTTTCAGGTCCTCCAGCAACAGTAGAAGTGGATATTATGGTTCGCAGCATGGGACCAATATCAGAAGTCGACATGGTAGGTACTAATAACTTTCCTAAAGAAATTTAAGTCCTTACAATTTTCAAAATATAAGTTATTTTAAGCCCAAAATATTCCAACCAAGTAATTTTTTGTTCAAGAAAATTGTAGTTAGTTTATTTATAACCTTTACTTTGATTTAGACACCCGCTGCATATTGAGAGAACAAAGACAGGTTACTCTGCAGATACATTTTGATTAGATTTTAACGTGAATCACATTTCTAGGACTCAAAGTGTCCCACATTGGTTGCTGGCAATCTTACAATCCCCGCCCCACAATTCAATTTGCAGAGCCGTCGCCTGTCTGACTTCCTTGCCATCCTGCGATTCTGACTCCGTTTTTGCCTCCATTGCAGACCTACTCGATGGACTGTTACTTCCGCCAATCCTGGGTGGATAAACGTCTCGCGTTCGAGGGGGCCCAGGACACGCTGGCACTGAGCGTCTCGATGTTGGCCCGGATTTGGAAGCCGGATACGTACTTTTACAATGGCAAGCAGAGCTATTTACACACGATTACCACGCCAAATAAGTTTGTGAGGATCTATCAGAACGGACGCGTTCTGTACTCCAGCCGGCTGACAATTAAAGCCGGCTGCCCGATGAATCTGGCCGATTTTCCCATGGACATACAAAAGTGTCCCCTGAAATTCGGTTCATGTGAGTACGAAGGAATCTCGAAAGAATGCCAAGTGGCACATGTGGAACTCAGCGCTGCAGTATAATTATGCATAATGGCTGCTCATTGCGCTTTGATGTGATTTGTTCTTCTCGTGTCGGAAAAAATGTCCACTTGTTGGGTCCGAAGGACAAAGAATCTGGGGTGGGGATTATGCTGAATGCCATGACATTGGATGCGATGGGATGGGATGGGATGGGATGGGATTGGATTCGAGGAATCGTTGGCGACAAGAAATGTGAAGTGAGATGTGTTTTGAATTGAAGGGGGAAATGGAAATGAAAGAAAGAAAGAAATGGCACAAGGGCCGGAAATATTCAAGTGGTTCCATGCGTCTGAATGCTGGAAGCGGATTAGATGAGGTAATGGTTTAATGGCACATCCTAATGTGGTTGGAAATCTCTACGCAGCATTGGCTAGCTGGAACTTTCTATTTTTATTGTGATGAATTTTTGAGTCTGTCTTTCACTTTGGTTTCTTGAAGTAGAGGAAACAATACGCTATTACTGTTTTAATTTAAATGAGTCTTTAAGTTAATCCACTTAAACGGTTTTACTTAATATTTTCTAGAAACCTTATTTAAGGACCGTGCACCATTTAAAAAAATAAATGTTTTCTCTTAAGAATCGTTCTTATATAGAGCGTGATACTGGGTCACATGGCCATAGCTAAAGGAGTCTGCAGTCAGTTGAAAGCGAGAGTCTGCTGGCCAGTGTAAGTCCCAAGCAGGCGCGAGAGTTCAAATGGGGGAGTAATGTGTCATTAAGGAATACCCTTACAATACAATGCACCTGGCACTGGTACAGCTCAAGTAGTTTGTATGCAAAAGTGTGGCGCTTTTGTCCGTGTTGACTCATATGCGCCTTTTTTGAGTCCATTGTTCAAAAGTATGTAAGTATTCTTGTAATTGGTCTGTAAATTCGTACATGCATTGCGTTAAGCGCATGTCGCCACCGTGCGAGTAGCCGCCTATTAAACTTGGGTGGGTCCGAGGTGAAAATAGAGTAAGGTAATGGCCCCAGGACGCATCCTTGAGTTACACCGGCGTGGTTGGGGTGTTTGGTGAGGGTGCTGCTGTCCGCAAGTACAGAAAATGTGCGGTCCGTCTAGATTTGTATAAAAGTCCTTCATGCCAAGCGGGCGACACGGTATCCTTTTGTAAATTCGAATCAGCGATGTGGGATATGTGCCTAAAAGATTCATGATCAAGTATTCTTGCAATAGAGAAGCGCTTGAATATATTTCACGGGGTAGTATGTTAAAACTTTTTAGGTTTTGTGCAGGTTTCAGCAACATACAAGTATAGTCACCATAATTACCAATTATTTTTGAGGCAAGACCCTGTCACTGTGTTTTCATTATTAAATTACAGGCATCTGAACCCACAAAAGTCTAAGTAACAGCCGGAGATTTTACTTATTTTAAACTTCTTAAACTAACCGCTCAAATTTGAGCTTTCTAACGTTCAACATCCATTAGCAGTCGACCTTTGTCAAAAACATTACAATGAACTACAAAATTTAAGATTTAAAAGAAGCGATTTGAAACATTTTGGGAAAAGGGTGTTCTAAGAGAGTTTTCGAAGTTTAGGTTCTAAAAATGTTGGCCGGCTGTAATTCCTAGTTCTAGTTTTGACTTTAAGAAACCAATTCATCGTTACACTCATTGCGTTACATAGATTTATTCACTTTAACGATTTAGCCAATTTCATAAAAATATTGTTGAGATCGAAACCGATTTACGTTCTCTGGCTTCGACTTTTAGTTGGCCGTCCTGCGAACGCGTACGACAACTCGTCGGCCGCTGACTCCGCTCTGGGTGTTTCCCGCCCTCCGGAGGCGCCTTCCTCCATTCAGACGGCTGACTCCATTCCGACGGCTGCCTCCATTCCGGCGGACGACCCTGCGTCTGATTATGACACGACGGCGTCGGTGCCTCCTCCTCGTGGCGGCCGTGGTGGTGGTGGTGGTGGAGGCGGCAGTGGTGGTGGTGGTGGTGGAGGCGGCAGTGGTGGTGGTGGTGGTCGCGGAGGCGGAAGTGCTGGTGGTGGACGTGGCGGAGGAAACCTGGCTGATCTGCAGGATCAGCACGGCCAGGACGACCAGGGAAAGAGCCAGGAGGGAGCGCATTGCGATAGTGTTCTTAGTGGATCGGGAACTAATGTCAATGGACCGAACGGGTTTATATTTATAGTGACTGGGAGAAGTCTTTGATCCAAGCAAACACAGATGTGTTCCCTCAGAGTATCTATGGTTTTTTGTTACATTACGTTTCAGTATTTACGGAGCTTTGTTGATAATGTTTACACCAACTTGGACGTAATTGGAATATTTACTTTTACGCAAAGCGGAACATACGCTACTTCTTTGTTCATTCCAGAATTTCCCAAATTCTTAAAAACAGATTAAAAACTATCCTGTATCCGACCCAAAAGAAATAATTTGAACAAAGTCAGGGGTTATATACACTTGCACTACCAATAGCTAGATTCTTGGGACATATTTTTAAATAAATAGTTTTATTCAAATTCTTCAACATCATTTTTTTTAATTTAAAAAACAAAAAAGTTTTTAATAATATAACGGCGCTTAGTCAAACTGCCGGACCCCTAGCATGCAGCAAATCGTCTTTTTTCGAGACACTTTATTTGCTTACATCTTCTTATTGTATGATTCGATTTGAACAACTTTTGGCACGTAGATAGGTATTGATAATAAAAAAAAAATTTAAGCGCTAGACAAATTTTTTCGTTATAGGATTTTGTGGGCGTTAACAAGTTGAAAAATTTAAATGGGATTTTGTTTTGAATTTCATTTGCCAACTACATTCCAAAATGGTTAAATTAGGGCCATTCAGTAAAAAGTTATAAGCCAATAAAGTGTGCAATCTTGGGAACAGAAGCTTTCTTCCATTGCACACCACTTAGCTGAGTAGCGGGTATCTGATAATTGAAGGCATCGAATATAGCGTTATCCCTTGTTTTTTCTTCCATTGGCTTCCTCGCAGCTCTACTCTTATTTTAAGTTCACCGCAATTTTTGTATAATTGTTAATTTTCCCTTGCCCCAAAAATCTCGAAAAAATTGGAATGCGATTTCTTAAGAATTTTTTCCGCGGAATTGAATGCTTCTCTTGTATTTGAATTTCAAAGTAGCCTTGCCTAAGATTTTAAGTGTTGTGCAATAAGAGACATGTGAGCTTTCCATTTATTTTCAAAATAATTGGCATTCTCAAAAATTCGACAAGAATCTTTAATTGTTTTTATAGCAGGCCGGTTCCCACAACCGCGAGTAAAACATCCTCGATGCACAGTGATTCTTTAAGAAATCACGTGACCAAGGATGACCATCATACAACTTTGCAGTGTGAATCTGAAAAAATCGCGGTCCAACGAAAATAAACTATTTTAACATTTATGGGGTCATAGATCATTTTCATTCTTGGTAAATCATAACTCCGAGAGTAGAAGCAAATATCGTTATTTGTGCTTTCTTTAAAACAGCTATTCCTTTTCGTTGTCAGTATCGGTGGATTCTGATACTTATTCTACCTTTTACATAATTTCCCAAGAGTCTAATATACCTTTTTGCTCTACGAGTAAGAGGTATAAAAAGACCCCAAAATCTTGTTATACCCGTTACTCGTAGAGTAAAAGGGTATACTAGATTCGTCGGAAAGTATGTAACAGGCAGAAGGAAGCGTTTCCGACCCCATAAAGTATATATATTCTTGATCAGGATCACTAGCCGAGTCGATCTAGCCATGTCCGTCTGTCCGTCTGTCTGTCTGTCCGTCTGTCCGGATGAACGCTGAGATCTCGGAAACTATGGGAGCTAGGCTATTGAGATTTGGCGTGCAGATTCCTGAGCTTCCTACGCAGCGCAAGTTTGTTTCAGTCGACTGCCACGCCCACTCTAACGCCCACAAACCGCCCAAAACTGTAACTCCTACAGTTTTGATGCTAGATAGAAAACTTTAACTGAAATGTATTGGTGTCGTCAATACCTATCGATTGATCCAAAAATAAATTTGCCACGCCCACTCTAACGCCCATAAATCTGTCTACCGCCGGTAGGTGGCGCATTTTAATCTCGCTTTGCTGCTTGCATATCTCCATTTCCCTTTGAGTAACGGGTATCTGATAGTCGAGGTACTCGACTATAGCGTTCTTCCTTGTTTTTGAAATATCTTTTTTGGTGTCACTTGTCGTGTATTTTGAGTGAGAGGCTAGTTGTATGCCTAATAAACGAGTCTTTTGCATTGTATACAATCCTCTTAGTTTTTGCGATAATTTTCGATTGGTGTGTTACTTGTTGTGATCGGATCAACACAGCTGATTTTTATATCGCCGTGTAAGCTTTTCAAAACCAGGTGCCCTTGAAATATACGTCACTTTAAAGTCAATATTGTTTTCAGAATGACGGTGCCAAAAATTGTTTATCCTCAATATGTCTAAAATTCGAACATTTCGTTTTCTGATTTGTGCTCTTTTCCTGCGCCTCATTTAATAAAGAACTTGTAATGTGTGGAGAATGAATATGAATGAATGAATATTTTTTGATTCGTGAATAACTTGTTATGATCGGACCATCACTGCAGACTTTTAATTTCTAGTAGTAGCCTCCTACGGGTGCACTTCGTCACTCCGAGACAAGGCTGCTACAAGCATATCATAAAAGTATAAATTGATTTGCGAGTTCCATTTAATTGACCGTGCTCGAAAAAATCATTTTTTTGAAAAATTGGGCAACAAATCATTTGCGACAATTAACCTATGTTAGTGGTTCTGTTTGTCATTCCAAAACACGCTGTATTAACTTACACCTTGGGAAAACTATGATAAGCATTACACATTTATTCTATATTTGGGAAGAAATCGACGAAAAGTTTAATTAAATTAAATATAATATTTACCTTCCTCTTGCCTTCCCTTCTGTAAAAATTTCCCAACTACAATATATGTGAAGGGCACCACAGCCATGCCCATTGAAAAAATCAAATCGCCTATCATATCAAAAAAAATTTTCCTAATGCTTCTCCCAAATAGTGGGTACGAGAAAAAGCATCATAAACAGTCCCTACTTTTATTCAGAAAAACGCACAGAACGCCGTACAGCCTTCTGCAGTTCGATATTGAGCAGATAATTCCATATTGTTTTTAAATACATGTATAATATTGTGTTGTAAAATTTTGATAAGCGGAGTGTTTTGAACGATAAATTCGTTTTACATTTGATGACTTGTTTTAAAAAGTTTCCTGTGATCGGTCATATCTTTTAAGTCAAAATTATATTCTAGCTTCAAAACTGCATTAACCACAGTTTAAAACTTTGTATGAATGCATAAAGTAAAATCAGCAGCAGTTCGATTTTTTGCAAATTTATTTGGCGCTCTATGAATTGGGCATTGCATAGACACAGTAACGGAAGGACGGTCAGTCGCACTAAATCGGCTCGGCTGTTGATCCTGATCAGAAGCTTAGAATATTTTTACGGAATTCTCATAATTTAATCTGGGGTATATCATTTGTTTAAGACTCAGCCTATTTCTTACCGTTATCAGTAATACATATCCAAAGTGAAAACAATTTTGGAAAACATTAGAATTATGCTTTTACGTAAGGAAGGGTGGGGCAAAACAGGCATGTGAGGCGAAACCAACCTCCCCTCTATAAACAGCTGGAGAAAGTAAAGGGACTGTGGGTAACAATAAAAGAAAACTTGCATCAAAAAGGACCACTTGATTTTTTTTGCTATTTTATTTTTTTACCTTAACGGAATTTAAGTTAAAACAAGTTCTCCTTGTGTGGAAAAGGCAAGGAAAAACTGATTAGAATTCCACATGGTACCATTTTGTACCATAATAAGTTTGAAATGAGTTTTACTTCGAGGTGGGGCAACATCAACACCTTTACTGTTTTATAAGTGATAAATCATGATTCTAAAGATGTTGATTCTTTGATTGATTTATTTCAAATAACCAGAAACATGATAAAATCTTTAAGACCTATTTTTAGATGATATCTTAGTTGGCCGTCCTGCGAACGCGTACGACAACCCGTCGGCCGCTGACTCCGCTCTGGGTTTGTCCAGCCCTCCGGAGGCGCCTTCCTCCATTCCGACGGCTGCTTCCATTCCGACGGCTGCCTCCATTCCGGCGGACGACCCTGCGTCTGATTATGACACGACGGCGTCGGTGTCTCCTCCTCGTGGCGGCCGTGGTGGTGGTGGTGGTGGCGTCAGTGGTGGTGGTGGTGGTGGAGGCGGCAGTTGTGGTGGTGGTGGTCGCCGAGGCGGAAGTGCTGGTGGTGGACGTGGCGGAGGAAACCTGGCTGATCTGCAGGATCAGCACGGCCAGGACGACCAGGGAAAGAGCCAGGAGGGAGCGCATTGCGATGGTGTTCTTAGTGGATCGGGAACTAATGTCAATGGACCGAACGGGTGTACATTTATAGTGCCTAGGAGACGTGTTATGCTGCAAGCAAACACAGATGTGTTCCCCAATATCTACACTTTTTGTTACAGTACCTTTCAGTATTTACGGGGCTTGATACTGTTTACACCAACTTGGACGTAATCGGAATTTTTACTTTTTCGCAAAGCGGAACATACGCATACTTATTTGTTGTTGATGCTATTCACTCCAAAATATCCCTAATTCTGTCAAAGAAACGAATTAATTACATTGCGGTTTCAGAATGAAATAACTGTCGAAATTAAATGGACTGGCAATCTCTATTATCAATAAGAATGCGAGATTATGATCTTTGTACTGACGAAAAAATGAAATAAACTAAAGAATAAATTCCTCGACTCAACCCCTATGTTGACTTGCAGTACCATTTATTCCTTAATTAAGAATTTATAATTCTGCAAAAGAAACTAAATATTTATCTCAGCTCACTTTCAACATACATTTGAAGCGACTTTTTTTAATTTTACATTTTTTTCTTTTCAAACTGTTTGAAATTCAATTAAACTACACAATGGCACTTCAAACAATTTTATTTAGTAACTTACCAGAAAGGATTTAAACCGAAACTTAAAACTGCTTGCTTACTAAATAAAAGAAGATACAACATTAAAATAACTTAAAAACAATTTCAGTCAAAAGTTAGCAAAGCAGTAAACGTACACATAGTTAAAAATACCTCTTTTTGTAGCCCTGTATCTTTTAAAATAGCATTCAATTCTTTTTAAAGGCGAGTGCCTCGACTGTTAAACGCAAGCGCCGGAGGTAATAGTCTAGAACAGGGGCCTGTGGCCAAAAATCCCGTACATTTATCACGCCTAAGAACTAGTCATTCTATCAAACATAAAACCCCTATTACGAGGTAAAAAAGGGACGATTGCACCTTCAACATATTAACTTTAGCGACGAAAAATAATATAACACTTTACAAATTACTTATTCGGCTCGCCTTAGCAAAATATTTAAGTTTATACCAACTCGACCAGTTTTTATTGTACCGTGCCGAATCCAAAATCAATGAATTCAACCAGCCTAGTCAACTATCTCCAACGTCCACAGCAGCTAAAATTTCTTAAATTTTACTTTTACACTTTTATTGTCAAATTGAAATTTTTAAGGAGTTGGTATGGAATCCTTTTGATTAGTGTATCCCTCGCTACGATCGGACCATGACAGTAGATTTTCATTTATTCGTGTATATATAGTAGTCGCCTTTGCACACTCTCCAGGTGCGCTTCGTCACTACTTAGACTGCCGTCCACAGTGACAGTAGTAGCCTTCTACTGGTGCGCTTCTTTACGGCAAGAAAAGGCTGCTAAAAGCATATTATAGAAGATTAAACTGAATTCCATTTAATTGAAAAAGCTTAAATATTTATTTTATTTATTTATTTTTTTATGTATTGGATTTACGGAAAAACTGAGCCAAAAATCACTTGTGAAAATTATTCTATGTTAGTGGTAATCAAAAATAATGCTTTATTTACTTACCTACTGGGAAAACTATGATGAGGGTTATTATTACAAAAATATATCCGAGACACTTTCCGACCTTTAGCATTCCAAATTTACCCTATATTTAGGAAGAAGTTAACGAACAGTTTAAGTAGGGATTAAATATAGTATAATATTTACTTTCCTTTTGCACTCCCTTCTGTATAAGTACTCCAGCTATAATATATGTCATGAACACCAAAGTCATGCCAATTGAAAACATTTTCCGTATTATATTTCCCGAAATACACACTCAGGGAAAAACAACGTGCTAAATCAAGTACAAACAAGACCGATTTCATGCTTACCATTTAAGAAAGTTCATGCTTAAAGGATCTCACATTGAGCACATTTTGGATTTGGACTCTATTAATTCCCAACTGCTTATTCTGAAAGTGCTCTGTATATAAGGCGCATAAATTACACAGTGTTAATGCCCGTGGTCGGCAAGTCTTAAGTAAACTTAAGATACTAATATTATTTAGAAATATCTCAATTATTTCAGTTTCCAGAACTTATTTCTTTAATTAGCATATAATTAAAGCCCAATTAAAATTTATTCGTCTTTAAATCATGATTCATTATTCATTATATTAAATCGTTCTTGTTTTCAGTAAAAATGTGACTAAATTCAAGAATTATTCATACTTGATTATAGACTGAAAGGTTCTGAAACCTAGTATTTTCGGTCTTGAAAATTCGTGCTTGAAAGCTGCATTTTGTTCTTGGGTTCTGTATTTTCCATGCTTGGCGAAGTTTTGACACCGAAAATACTTGATTTAAGCACAAAATACTTGATTTTTTTCTGAGTGTAGTATTGTTTATCACACGGACGATTTCTCACTATATTAGAAATACTAACTACGACAAAAAAATCATGAAAACAATTCCTACTATTATGCAAAAACACGCATAGAACGCGGTGCAGCCTTCCGCAGTTCGATTTTGAGCAGATCGGTAATGTCATTTAAGTCTAAATTCTGTTCTAGCACTAAAACCGTAGGAGCCACAGTTTACAACCTTACATAAATGCCCGAAATAAAATCAGCAGAAAGGAGATTTATTGAAATTTATAAAGAGCTCTTTAGATTTAAAAATTATTATATAATTTTATGTAATTCTATAAGCAGATGGAGACAAGGGATTGTAAGTAACAATGATAGACAGCTCGCTTCAAACAAGGAAGATCATTTGATTTCGTGAGCTATGTTAATTTTTTGCCATAACGGAATTTAAGTTAAAACAAGTTCTCTTTGTGTGGAAAAGGCAAGGAAAAAATTATTTAACTTTCACTTGGTATATTTAAGGCCATGCTATTAAAAGCGCTTACTTGTTTATTATAATACGTTTTAAATGAGTTTTTCTTCGAGGTAGGGCGAAATCAACATTTTTTTACTTAGAAGTGCTAAATCATGATTTTAAAGCTTTTAATTTTGTGATTGTTTTATTTCGAATAACCAGAAACATGACAAGATCTTCAAGACCTATTTTTAGATGATATCTTAGTTGGCCGTCCTGCGAACGCGTACGACAACTCGTCGGCCGCTGACTCCGCTCTGGGTTTGTCCAGCCCTCCGGAGGCGCCTTCCTCCATTCCGACGGCTGCCTCCATTCCGACGGCTGCCTCCATTCCGGCGGACGACCCTGCGTCTGATTATGACACGACGGCGTCGGTGCCTCCTCCTCGTGGCGGCCGTGGTGGTGGTGGTGGTGGCGTCAGTGGTGGTGGTGGTGGTGGAGGCGGCAGTGGTGGTGGTGGTGGTCGCGGAGGCGGAAGTGCTGGTGGTGGACGTGGCGGAGGAAACCTGGCTGATCTGCAGGATCAGCACGGCCAGGACGACCAGGGAAAGAGCCAATAGGGAGCGCATTGCGATGGTGTTCTTGGTGGATCGGGAACTAATGCCAATGGACCGAACGGGTGTACATTTATAGTGCCTAGGAGAAGTGTTAGGCTCCAAGCAAACACAGATGTGTTCCCCAATATCTACGATTTTCTTTACAGTACGTTTCAGTATTTACGGGGCTTGTAGATACTGTTTACACCAACTTGGACGTAATAGGAATTTTTACTTTTGCGCAAAGCGGAACATATGCACACTTCTTTGTTGTTGTTGCTATTCATTCAAAATTTCCCAAATTCTGTCAAAGAAATCGAATTAGTTACAATGCGGTTTCAGAATGAAATAAACGTCGGATATAATTTGACTGGCAATCTCTATTATCAATAAGAATGGGAGTTTATAATTTTTGTACGAAGGGAAAAACGATTTAAATTCAAGAAAAAATTTCTTGACTTAGGTCCGATTTTATCCTGCAATACCACTTGTTGTTAAACTAAGAATTTTTATCTTAAAATTTGTTTTGATATAAATAAAACTAAATACCTGCTCACATTTGAAAAAAGTTTTCTAAAATTTAAATTTTTGCTTTCCTTTCAAACTGTTAAAAATTCTCTTTGAAATGACTACATAAAGGCACTTTAAGCAATAATATTAAGTAACTTACCACAAAAGATTTAAACCGAAACTTGAAATTGCTTCCAGCCGACAATAGATGGTGCTGTGTCCATATTCCCTTCGGAAGAAGAGCAACTTTAAAAACAGTGCATATAATGTGAACCTTTTCTATTTGTATGATTCGGTTATGAAATCTGTCTGAGTCAGTTCCAGATTATAAACTATCCTGTGGAGAACCAAAATAAATAATTTGAAAAAAAGTTAGGGGAATTTTTTTTAATGTGAAGCAAAGTTTTATTCAACTTCTGTTAAATTCTGTTAAAGTAAATTAGTTCAACTTTATTTTTTAATTTAACAAATAAACAAAAGTTAAGGAACAAGAGAAAACGAATCAGACGATACAATCGACTATCAAATACCCGTTACTCAGTTAAGAGGGGTGCGATGGAGATATCCAGCAAAGCGACTGTTCACAATTGCACACCCCGCAACTGCGCCACATAGCGTTAATTTCTATAATTGCTTATTATTTTTTTGTAATCTTCAAAAATATGGGTGCTAGACAGGTCTTAGTGTGGGCGTATGGGCGTTACTTTTACCTAGTTTAATCATTTATCTTGTCGCTTAAGGGGTTATCGGACTTATAATTTTCCGGACTCGAGATCACTGCAAAACCATTATTGGGAAAATATCGTTTTGAGATAATCCCGTTTATAGAATGAGTTCTGTACCCAGAGGTAGTTAGCTATTAAATGCTCCAATAGTACGATCAATGTATTGTATATAGCCTTTTAAGCAATTCAAATGGCGTATACTCACATTATTAATCGTGAGTCATCACAGTCATCAAAGATTCACTATAAAAATAAGAGAGTAAGGCAATCTCTTATTTCCGGCGTTCGTCGATATAATCGCACATTCGGATCACGGAGCAAATGTGCACAACTAAATAAAGGATTATAAAATATAAAAATCACTTAAAAACAGAGCGGGGAGTAGGTGTAAGTTTTTTTGCGTTTCTAACTCTCTTAAATAGAGTTGCACCTTTCAGATAACTATCAATTATTACTGTAACTGTTGTACCCGTTACTCGTAGAATAAGATGGTATACTAGATTCGTCGGAATGTATGTAATAGGTAGAAGGAAGCGTTTCCGACCCCATAAAGTGTATATATTCTTGATCAGGATCACTAGCCGAGTCGATATAGCCATGTCCGTCTGTCCGTCCGTATGAGCGCTGAGATCTCGGAATCTACAAAAGCTAGAAAGTTGGATTTGGCATTTAGATTCCTGAGCTTCTTGCGCAGCGCAAGTTTGTTTCGTCAGTACCTATCGATTGACCTTAAAAGTTGTTTGCCACGCCCACTTTAAGGCCCACAAGCATTAAGAATTCGTAAATATGAACGCAGATATCTCGGAAACTATCGAGAGTTGAGATTTCAGATTAAGATTCCGTAGCCTTGTACGCAGCGCGAGTTTGCTGCACAAGCCGCCCAAGCCTTTGGCGCCCACAATTTTTATACTTATCGATTATCCAAAAAGAAGTGTGCCACGCCCACTCTAACTGCCACAAGCCGCCTAAACATTCGATATGTATTGCCGAAACAAATGCTTTCAGTTGAAATTTTAGTTCTGCCATCAGAACTTTGGCCGCCAGTACTTTGCGATTTGTGGGTGTTAGAGTAGGAGTGGCACTAGAAATAAACAAACTGGCGTTGCTCAGGAAAAACTTTCTTTTACAGTTTCTGAGATTTCGTCGCTCATACGGACGGACAGACCGACATGGCTAGATCGACTTGGCTAGTGATTTTCATCAAGATTCGAATTCGCTTCCCTCCATATGTAAAATAAGAATACAATATTTCAGTTCTCGGGTATTGAAAACATTTTATGTCGGTTAGTAAATAAAATAGAATTTTAACTGTGTAACAGCAGGATCAAAGTTTACCGCCTAAAACGTTGAGTACCTATAATTAGTCAAATTAAAATTAACACAATAGAAAACGCTATGGTCGACGGCCCCGACTATCAAATACCTAGCTAAAGAAAACGCGCACCCTATCGTTCATTCCTATCGGCTTTTTAAAACATTACACTAACAAGCCACATAATGTGAAACCTAGGTGGCGCTATTGAAATTTCTCAAGTAATCATTTTGCTGTTTGATTATATATCTGTCCCTCTCGCACGTTATTGCATTTCCTGATTATTTATTATTGTTTGATTATGACACTTTAATGAAGAATTTAATTTTGACAATAAGTACAAAATCTCATTTAAATTTGTACAATATATTACAAATTATGGGTGCTAGACGGGTTTTAAGGGGCGCTTGTGGGCGTTAGAATGGTGAAAGAATTTTGTGCTGCTTGCGCAAGCTTAAAACTTATGTATATACGATATATCACGCTAGTCACGTGTTGAAGAGCACCTTAACGAGGTACAATAGTGACGATTGCACCATCAACTTGCAAAAGTTATAATATCAACTGTTCTTACGAAAAAAAAAACAAATTAAATATTCAATCCTTTTATACCTTTTTTTTGTGTCACACGTTTTGATCGGACCATCACTGCAGATTTTCAATTCTGCGGCGAGACAAGGGTGCTACAGGCATAATTAAAAAGTATACTTTACCGTGTTGAAATCAATCATTTTTTGTTTTATTAAAAATTGCCACACCTAAACTATGCTAGTGTTTATGTTTGTCATTCCAAAATACAGCTTTATTTACTTACCTAATGGAAAAATTAACAGTAAGTTTACTATTGGAAAAGCATAGCTGAGACACTTTCCGACCTTTACCGTTCCGATATTCTATGTTGAGGAAAAAACAACGAATAGTTTAAATGGAGACTACATAAGATATAATACTTACATTATTTTTCAATCCCCTCTGTATAAGTATCCCAGCTAAAAGATACGTCATGCACACCACAGCATCGATAATGTAAATAATCAAATACAATATTAAATTGCTTTTGGTATTATAGTCTTCCGCAAATACAGGATGGGTCTCCACAACAGCAATTCTTACAGAAGAAAAAATAATAGCTATTATACTAAGGATCAAGTAAATAGTCCCTACTACTATACAGAAACACGCGTAGCACGCGGTACAGCCTTCTGCACTTCGATTTTGATTTGAACATGATTGACACATTGTTTTCAAAAATAAATGAATAATATTGTGTTGTACAGTTTTAATACTCGCAGTGTTTTTCAACGAATTTAACTGTTCAGAATTTTATTTACATTTGGTGAGCTATTTTAAAATGTCTCCTGAGATCGGACATATAATTTCAGTAAAAAGGCTATCCTAGCAATAAAACTCTAGGAGCTACGGCTTACAACTTTGTAAAAATTCACGGAATGAAATAAACAGAAAAGAAGACGACTCCTTTTTGTTCGCGAGGTAGGGCGAAATCAACACTCTTTTACTGTTTTAGAAGTGCTAAATCATGATTCTAAAGCTGTTAATGTTGTGATTGTTTTATTTCGAATAACCAGAAACATGATAAAATCTTTAAGACCTATTTTTAGATGATATCTTAGTTGGCCGTCCTGCGAACGCGTACGACAACTCGTCGGCCGCTGACTCCGCTCTGGGTTTGTCCAGCCCTCCGGAGGCGCCTTCCTCCATTCCGACGGCTGCCTCCATTCCGGCGTCTCCCTTCATTCCGACGGACGACCCTGCGTCTGATTATGACACGACGGCGTCGGTGCCTCCTCCTCGTGGCGGCCGTGGTGGTGGTGGTGGTGGCGTCAGTGGTGGTGGTGGTGGTGGAGGTGGCAGTGGTGGTGGTGGTGGTCGCGGAGGCGGAAGTGCTGGTGGTGGACGTGGCGGAGGAAACCTGGCTGATCTGCAGGATCAGCACGGCCAGGACGACCAGGGAAAGAGCCAGGAGGGAGCGCATTGCGATGGTGTTCTTAGTGGATCGGGAACTAATGTCAGTGGAACGAACGGGTGTACATTTATAGTGCCTAGGAGAAGTCTTTGGCTCCAATCAAACACAGATGTGTACCCTAAGAGTATCTATGTATCCAGTTACACTTTTTCGGGGTTTTTACGGTGCCTTATGTAGTCTGTTTACACCAGTTTGCACGTAATTGTAGTTTTTACTTTTACGCAAACCGAAGTATAGGCGTTTATTTGCTGTTGATATTATTCATTGTTATATTTTAGTCAATTTCCTCAGACCAAATGTGACCAATAGTTTAATATAGATTGGAAAGCAAGTATTACGAAAAAGGGTATATTAGATTCGTCGGAAAGTATGTAACAGGTAGAAGGAAGCGTTTTCGACCATATAAAGTATATATATTATCGATCAGCATCAATAGCCGAGTCGACCAACCCATGTCCGTCGGTCTATCCGTCCGTATTAACGCTGAGATTTCGGAAACTATAAAAGCTAGAAAGGTGGAATTCGGCATGTACGAGTATTACTATAATAGCTAAGAAATGGACGATGAATAAATCATATTAGCCTGATTAAGGTAATATGAGTGTATGAGTGTATTCTGATATTGTATCTTAATTTTTTGAAAAGGTATTTATCTACAAACAACAGTTACCCTAACAAAGTTATTTTAAAAATTTATTACTGTGGCTCCCACAGTGTTGATGCTAGTCAAAAAAGCTTACCTAAAATGTTTGGGTTGCCTCAATACCTACCGATTGGCCTAAAAAAGACGCCCGAAACTATTTCCATCTTCCTTGCAGTCTTTTTAGCTGAGTAAAAGTCGAGGCACTCGACAACAGCGTTCTTCGTTGTTTTATATATTTACTATAAAAATTAGATATTGAACTGTATTTTGTAAGTTTCTATATTTGTATAGTTACATAACTATTTCGATTCCATTCCAAAAAAAAGGTAATTCTATTTAAGATATTTGCTAATACTTAATATTTATTTAAGTCGCATTTTGGCTTGCTTTTCATGGAGCACAATGATCCGTCTTCTTTGGTTCATGTTTCAAATTTCTCCGAAGACTTCAGGGAATCAAATTGAGGAGTACCACACAAATTGTCCGTCCTACGTTGCTTAAGCAGAACAGTCGGATTTGGCTCGTCTTTAAGGACCCTCGCGGTCCATTCGCTGTTCTGTTTCGGGCTCAGAAGCATAGATCCATGATTCATGACCTGGAAAGAATTAATAAAACTTAAAAATTTCCAAAAATTCTTTGGACCCACCCACACGAGCCCTTTTTTAAGTGATTGTCAAATCTTGCTGGATCCAACACGTACAAACCTTTTTTGTATGGCCAGGTCTTCATGCAATATCGAATGTATGCTGGTGGAAGAAATGCTTAAGGATGCCTCTATCTCAAGGTATGCCACATGACCATCTTGCACTATGCACGGCATTAATGTTCTCTGGTTTTTGGACGACCTTCGTCTTCGAGCAGTTTTTAACAGTGCTATAGGATGATGCTTGCCCGCCATACAAAAATTTAAGTTCATCGATGCACTCTTTTCGTAATAACTGACGTCGAAACTTGTGAAAAATTATTGCATTGAACACTTGTTCAGGAGTTTATTCAATTTTTCAGCATAGGTAAGTTTTTGATTAATCGTTGATTGATTTTAAACGTGATCAGTGATCACACATGAAAAAGTTGTATGGAGCTTTTATCGATAAAATTCCAAACTTTTTTTGGGAAATGACCCAGAAACTTAAAAAGCACTCCTCATATCTTTTCTGATCAATGAGTGGAGCTTGGGAATTATAGAGACGAAATGTGAAATTTGAAATAACTTAAATACACAGTATTATTTGAATGAGGAATTGAATGGAATGTTAGGGTGTATGTACGTGTGTAATTTATTTTAAAGAAAAACATAGCTATTTCGCGAGTTTTATTAGTCCCTTCTGCGCCGGCTTCGGGTCCGTCGACAGTTGCCTCCGGACTGAGTACGTCCCCCTTTCCGGTGACGAAAGTGAAAGTTACGAGTGATGATACGATACCGATGATGGTGCCTTCTCGTCGTTTTCTTGGAAGCAGAGGCAACTGTGCTGGCGGAGGCAGCCGCAGCCGAAGCCGTGGGAGAGGCAGTGGTGGTGGTGGTAGTGGTGGTCGTGGTCGTGGTCGTGGTGGAGGTTGAGCTTGAGGTAGCGCCAGTGCCGGTGGTTGAGGCGGAGAAGACTTGACCGCTCTGGAGGATCAGCACGGCCAGGACGACCAGGGAAAGAGCCAGGAGCGAGCGCATTGCGATGGTGTGTTTCGTTCAGTGGATTTTGGAACTGATGCCATCGGATCAAATGCCTGAGTATTTATAGACGCTTCTGAGATGTCGAAGCATTAAGTGCAGTGCAAATACAGATGTTACTTGGCCCCAAAGTACTACCTTTGTGTTCTTTGCATTGCTTTCAGACTGCTTTGTTAGACGACTCCACGTGTTTGAACAAAATTGGAATTTTCCCTTTTTTTTGCTAATCCGATTGTTCTTTATTTGCATTAACACAATTTTTAATTTTGGCGGAGTAAACCCTGCAGATGGACCATTCGTTAGAGATACTTATGTAAGGGTATCAGAATCAAACCGAATACAATTTTTATGAAATGGTATTATACCCAAAAGAATAACCAAATTATTTTAAGGCTTTAAGAAAAGTACACTGTACAGAGAGGACATTTTGCTGTTTAAATGTAGAAATTGTACATAAATCAAGAAATCAAGTTTATAATTCTTTTAGAGTCTGTGCATGCTGCAATCCCCATTAATTAACATATCCCGAAAGACCTCTCCACCCCCATTATTTTGCCTCAGTTTTTGTCCTGCCCATGACATTTCTATTATTTTCCGGTTACAAAAAATGTACACCTCCTGGAATTTGATGAATTTCCATCATATTTCCTCCTATTCAAATGCAAAACAGAATGTACGAAAAATAAATGAATGCAATCGTACCAGTATAGTATTTAGAAACATTTTTGTTGATAGGAAAGCTGTCTGCCTTCATTTCTCGCACAACCTACTAAATGCCTTTGCAGCTTATCGCAAATGAACAAGCCGCCACCCAACCTAGAAATGTATTATTACTTCCGATTTGTTGTGAATAATGCTGCACGGAGGCAGTCAAGAATTCAATTACCCCTCTATCTAGTCCCCTACTCCCCCATATGTACACTGCCTGCCGCTTAATGTTGACAATTTTCCATTTGATGCGAGCGAACTGAAAATATTGCCGAAGTCAGCGATTCCCAAACAGAAAGAAGGAGCAGATTCGGGCGATGGTTTGAAGGACGAGGCTTGCGGATTTGGGTGGAGGGTAAACCTGCTCCCACATATGGCGCACTGTTTGGCAATTTGTGCATTTTGGAGCAGCACCACCAACAGCATCAAAATAAAATAACTGAACCCACGTGAGGTAGTGATTGAAAGGCGAATATTGGGGGAGGCATTGGTTAGTGGGATGGGTTCTGTAAATGATTGGATGAATAGATAGTGTGGCCAAATATTTATTCTTTAAAGCGTAAAAGCTCCTAGTTATACATAAGTGTTTTTTGATGCGATATATTTGGTAAACTTTAACTGATTTTAAGTAATCGTCAAAGGATGGGATGACTAAAGATCTTTTAAAGATTCATTAATAAAATTTTGTTGTGATTTATGCAGTAAACTTCAAATGGTTAAAAAAATTAATTAGAATTGGTAAAATTTTATTGGCTTAGGCTTACATAACCTGAAAACGCCATTTGGTACGGGGTATAGTTTAAGTACTTATATAAAAACAGCTGACAATTTTTTGTCAGTAGATATACCTTTTAATATCTCGAATATAAAAAGTATGATTATACTTGTACATTTCTTAAGAGCACTCTAAGCATCGGCTTGGATATAAATATGTTAAGCCATCAAGTCACAGTTGAGTACTTCTCTGAGTTCCACATGCCGCCCTTTCAATTGACATTTGTCCGAAATGTGTTGCATCTATCTAAAATCCATCCAGTTGGCTACACCACGTCCGACGTCATCTACCGGTGGAACAAAGAGCGACCCCCTGTCGCCATCGCCGAGGACATGAAGCTGTCCCAATTCGATTTGGTCGATTGTCCGGCTGGGAATTTAACGGACATTGTGTACAAGGCGGCGGCTCCTAGACCGCAACGTCGTCCATTCAGCAACAAGGACCCACCACGACCCACCAGCAAGGTGCTGACCACTTTCGCCGGTCCGGCGGCAAAGAACCAGCATGTCCGGGGCACAGGACTCAAGCTGGACAAGGGAGCTTTTGGCACCGGACGGGATGCAACAGGCGGAGCAGGGTCCACCACCGGATTAAGTGGCACCATCACCCTGGAAACCAACCATCCTTGTAAGTAATTTACTTTGACTTACTCTTCGGAACAACTTGCTCGATTGATCTTTTAGTCCCGGATATAAAGACCTTTATAGCACTGGCCTGTATTAAGAGTACCCCGGTAAAAAAATAAAAACGTAAAAATAAATACATGAATTTAATATTTCAATTAAATATAACAACAATGTTTAATACAAAGCATACAAATTTGCACGATTTATTTTGAAAATATTTTTTTTATTTCAAGGTAAAATATATTATGATATAAAAAAGACTTTCATGTTAAAATCAAAGTTTAAAATCATAGCACATAATAAAAATAACCGCAGTGGATGCAAAACAGAACGAACAATATTTTAATTGAATATGAAATTCCTGAATTAACTACTTTTTTTTTTGTCAGTGCAAATAATATAAAGCTTTAAAATATATCAGGAACAAATACAGCTCTGACAAACTTGATTCAATTAAGTTAAATTAATTAATTTTAATTTGATCACCTTATCCCTTTCAGCGGAGTACTCCATGCTGATGGTTAACTTTCACCTGCAGCGGCACATGGGCAACTTCCTGATCCAGGTTTACGGTCCTTGCTGCCTGCTGGTGGTCCTCAGCTGGGTGTCCTTCTGGCTGAACCGCGAGGCCACCGCGGATCGGGTTTCCCTCGGCATCACCACCGTGCTGACGATGACCTTCCTCGGACTGGAGGCTCGCACGGATCTGCCCAAGGTGTCCTATCCCACGGCCCTGGACTTCTTCGTGTTCCTCTCGTTCGGCTTTATCTTCGCCACGATCCTGCAGTTCGCAGTGGTGCACTACTACACTAAGTACGGATCGGGGGAGTGCTACTTCATTATCGAGGAACTGGACTCGGATTCGGGGGAGTCGGAGACGGATCCGCTGACCTCCGACTTCCGGGACAGCACGGAGTCCAAGATCTACGAGGTTATTCCGCTGTCCATGTGCGCAATCAGCATGCCGCCACCACCCAATCGGCTGGGCATGCTCACCTCCAGGAACCGGGGTCCCCGGAACAGACGACATGGTCTGTGGAGCATAAAGCTCCTGGGTCTCTTCGACTGGCGGCGAAGAAGAAAGCCGTCCCGAGCCGGCGACTCCGATGAGGAGGTGGACGACGAGCAGACGCAGCTGAGGGCCAACGAGGTCCCAACCACATCCGCGGCAGCTGCAGCGGCACAGGCGGCGGCACAGGCTGCCCGGATCAGTCCTCCGTCTGGAGGTCGCCGCAGGATGTCCTACTACCGACGCGAGGAGATGGAGGCCCGGAGGAAGGGCAAACGAACCCCACAGTACAACTCCGTGTCGAAGATCGATCGCGCCTCGCGGATCGTCTTCCCGCTGCTCTTCATCCTGATCAACGTGTTCTATTGGTACGGCTACTTGTCGAGGAGCTCCCGGATTTTGGCCAACACGCCGGATGCGAGCACCTGATGTTACCTTTTAGCAATTTAGACAGGGTCCTCGAAGAAATCAATAAGCGATCGCCGGCAGCGAACAGACACCTAAAAAGGGGCGTAAACGATGCATCCGCAGCCTCGCCGTTGATGATGCACCGTTTACACTTTGCTCTGAGACAACGCGTGGGGGGAAAATCGGTTGGGGGTTCGGGAAAAGCAGGGGATGGGTTTAACTTTTCAGATTCAGTTACGCTCTTATTCTGATTTGCTACCAAACGTGACAACGCTTTATGAGATTTCTTTTCGCGCTAAATTGCTAAAGTACAGAAAACAGAACTCAACTCTAACATATCAGAGGACTTTCTATACGGACACCCTTTAAAAATATCGAGCTTTAACCGTCAAAATACTGTGAGGAAATTTTTGAAAACGTGTGTGTTCGTTTTTTCTTAAAAGTTCATGTTATTGTATCAATGAAACAAGCCAAACAAACGAGATCTTCTGTGATAGCTGCTTGCAATATTTTGACAATTAGTTGCTAAAAGCATAGGGTGTCCTGTAAATTTGTTGTACAGCTAACCAATAAGTTAATTAGTTTCGTTTTTGTGTGTACTTTAAATGGTTAATGTTGATTTAAACGTCACCGCACAAGGAATTTGCACTTAGTTGAGGAATTTGTTTAGTTCACAGCAAATTACAGTTTTTACATGGGATCACCAAAAAATAGGAAAACGTGTTAGGAAATTGCCGTCTCTGCTTTTCTGTCCCGGCAAGTAATAGAAGGTAAGCCAGTATTTTAATAAGTCACTCAGCCTATATTGTTAATTCAACGAAAAATTATGGGGTCTGAAAAGTATCCTAAGACAGATATAAGGTATCCCATCTCAAAGTTTTCATTGGAATATATCGTTTATATACATTTGCGGATATTTAGTACATTTCAAAATTGTAACAACTACATGTATGTTTTATATAGTATTATAAAATATATAGTTTAAAATATTTTTGTTCATGGATAACTTTCCGGCCCTGCAATTTTTTAACCACTCTTATATATAACGAAAATATCCAGCAGAGAGTGTTACTTGCCGGCAGATGAAATATGTACAACTATGTGTAAACACACGAACTAAAGCCAAATAAATGTCGAATTAAGAAGTTGATAACGAGTTGATAGCTGCACGGGAATTGGGAACCGGGTGGATTTATGGCTCACAAATAGGCCAGCAGATCGGCCAGTCGGGGTAGATAAAAATCTGGCTGGGCCAGCTTGCCGTTTTCCCGGCGGACATCCGAGAGATTATTGTATCTACCAGTGCCCACCAGAAGCGATAGCATGCCACAATTACTGGCGAAACCGACATCTATTTTGAGGCTACGAAAGACAGGGGAAACTCATTTAAAGTGCCATAAAAGGATGCGTTAATCTCGCTTACCAGTCACCAATCATAAGCGTTCGTTCCGGCTGCAGCTCGCCGGACTTGGTGAGGGGCTCAAGGACCAAGGGATTTGGCTTGCCCATCTCGAGGGCTTCGCGCTCGGAACAGGCTTCGATTCCGGCCACAAAGGCCCCAGTGCCGGGGATACAGAAGGCGGGATACTTGTGCACGGCATCCCGGTTGGTGACAAGGAAGGCGCAGTCCGGATTGCTGCACAGGATGTGACAGGCGCGGGCCATCTTGCAGTAGCTAAAGTACTCATCCCAGCCGACCACCACGGCACCCACGTCCTTGGCCGCCTCCGGGCTGCCGAATTCGCGAGCCACAAAGTCCGGCCACTTGTCGCCCGGAGGCAGTACCTCCGTTCCCCCGGCTCCGTAGCTGTCGATTCCGTGCTGCCTTAATTCCCGGGCGATGGCCGCGTTGCCCACCACATAGACCTTGTGGCGGGTCCTATCGAACTCCGGACTCTGGACCAGATAGTCGGCGATGGCCGCCGTGGGCGATATGATGTGTCGGTCGCTGGGCAAATGGAATCCAAGCCGCTGCGAGCGCTCAAAGAGCTCCTGGCGTGTCTTTAGACCATTGTTGGTAATCAGGTAGACTTTCTTGCCCAAGCGATGCTGCAGGGCATTCAGCACATCCGGAGCGCCCTCGATGGCCGTGTCATCCTGCCAAATGGTGCCTGGGCAACAAATGGATATTAGACTGGGTGAGCTCTTTCAGCAGTTCGAAATGAAAGTTCGGGTAATGCCAGCAAACTATGAAATGTTAACCATGATTTTGAAATGTTTCTTCCTTAAAGTTGCATCTTTTTATGTAAAGTTGGCTTGAAAACAAGTTTTGTTTTCTAATTAAACAAGTTTAAATATAAAACTTTACATGTAAAGTATATATATACATTTGAATTAAATAAGTCTTGAAATACAATAGCTTTAATGATTTAATTTCTTAATTTTAAAATTCTAGTTAATCAGGAAAACTTGACCTGTATTAAATACTTTTATACATATCCCTTTTTTAGCATAGGTGTATAGAGAATAGAAATATAAGTATATAAATTGTATAAATAAATAAAACAAGTGGAAATCACCTTTATGTAGTAAGTGATAATTAGAAACTAACAAGTAGAAACAAGTAACAACCGCTTCAAGGCCTTGGCCTTGACTACAAAATATAATAATGGCGAATTCTCTAAACTGTTTACAAAATTTGGTCTAGTAAGTGTTCTAAGTCTAGAATAATATTTCTATACATTTTTTTAAACGTTTATTAACCGTGATCGCATAAGCTTTTCCCTCACCCATGTAAACTACCACCGATATTTGCTAGTTTTCCGAGAAAGTGACAACTCTGGCAAAAGCTCCGTAGCGCTCTTTGTGGCACCTTCGCCGCCCTTCAAACTCACCATCGCCGTCGCAGAGAATCGTGTCGAAACTTTGGAGCCACTCGGCCACCTGCCCCCCGGATAGGTCCGTCAAGTTGATAGCACCGCCTCTGGACATTCTGCACCGTAGACCGCTCCGCCAAAAGTTTGCGACTCGACTAAATCGGCGACGGACTGGCTTTTCCAACTCACGATGATTGGGGAGAACTCGCTATCTCGCTTTCGCACAAAGCTCGCTCAGAAAAATAAACGCTCGGGCATGTTGATTAAGTCGTCCGTGTGACAAAATGCTTCTGAATTTATTTAAATATTTTGTTCTGTGGTATAAATTGTACTATAAATTTTCGTTAGGTATTTATAATTTGTCCTGTCTATTGCCGTTGAATGTAACTACAATACAAACACATGTCCGTACTACATACTGATTAACGTTTGGTGATCTAGATCTCAACTACTTCAAGCCCGCCACGGCGTCCACAATCGATGGCAGCAGATCCCCCAACTTTGGCAGGTATACGTCTGGTATGAGCTTCTTGTCCTCGGGATTCTTGCTCTTCTTCCATTGCTCCACGTCCTTCAGCTGGTGGATTCCGGAGCCCACGAGCAAGGTCTGGAAACCGCAATTGTAGCCCAGGAGTATGTCCGTATTGGCACGATCTCCGATCATCAGGGTCCTAGAGGGATCGATTTTCTTTTCCCTGACCAGAGATTCGCAAATGGCCGGATTGGGCTTTCCGATCACTATCGGTTCCCGTTCCGCACAGGTTTGGATGGCCCGCACGAAACTCCCGCTGCCGGGCACTATCATGTTGGGCATGGGGAAACGCTCATCCGTGTTGGTGGCCACGAACAGGCACTGTGGATCGTTCAGGTACGAGGCGGCCTTCATCATCTTGGGGAAGCTGAAGTGCTCATCGAATCCCACGACCACGGCTCCGATGTCCGTGTCCAGCTTTAAATGCTCTGCCATGAACTCCACCAGCGATCCCTGCATGGGTTCCGGTCCCACCTTGGTGTGCCGAATGCCCACGGCGTCCAGCTCCTTGGTGATACCCTCGCTTCCGATCACAAACACCCGCTTGCTGAAATTCCGACGCTTCAGAAACGCTGCTGTGGCATGGGCCGTCGAAATAATGCCGCTCTCATTGATGTGAAAGCCCAGCTCGACGCCTTTCTGTAGAAGTTCCGATCGGGTCTTCGTCGAGTTGTTTGTGCAGAAGTAAATTGACTTTCCCATGGCCTTAAACTGGTTCATCACATCCACCGAGCCTTCCAGGGCCTGGCCATAGATCCAAAGAACTCCTGGAATGGGAAATAATGGTATTAGTAAGGGGAGAAGTTGGTTTAATGAATCCCTAGGCTACAAGCAATCGTTCTTACTTTACAAATTCGCAACTAACTCAAATATATATGTATACACTTTTTTAAATTAATATTATTTTTAAGTTTTGTTATAAAAGTGTACTATTTATTCTTTTTATTAAGAATTATTTTTTAGTATATGTACAATGTACATAAGTCTTAGAGCGTTGGCTTTATATTAAGAATATTTTTAGGATAGTCATGTTTTTGTATTTTGATATCAAGAAGAAATGACCAGCAAAAAATATATACAAATGTTTAAAATGTATGGGTGTCTCATCTATATTTCCGTAAAGTACATGAATGCAGATTCCAAAAGAAATCATATAACCATTTCCGGTTCTGTATACATATATACTTATGAGTTATGAGGGCATCCAAAAGTCGACTTGCCGCCATATCACGCAATTCACTCTTTGACATTGAAATTCGCGACGCAGCAACAACACAGCGAACTTTTCGGTTGCTGACGTATTTGGGCAGATGTCGTCCCGAAAATATGGCATGCGTATACATATCTTTATGTAACGCAACTTCCTGTGGGCAATCCTTCCGCGAGTGGGGAGTACCGCCCCACCACCCACTGCCCACCGCCCACTCACCATCACAGTCTGTAATCACCGAATCGAAGCTCGATAGCCACTCGGTCACCTTGGCGGAGGACAGTTCCAGGAGATTGGTGCACGTCTGCTTGTACATGGTTATAGCCTTTCGCGAACAGGTGCTGAAGCTAGATCTCATTTATGGCCTTGCAGTGACGGCTACCTATAACACATCACTTTTAATTTATTAATTGGCTCTCGATTGCGAGTAACTCCCTGAGAAATAAAGCAGCTGTTGGTGTCTGTTAGAGCTATGTTACCATCTGTCAGATTTCATGGGAGCTGTTAGGGCGCCAATGTTAAAGTTAGCAGAGTGCTAACAAGTGTTTGGCGCCAATTTTGAAATTGGAAGTTCCCAAAAATCAAAACTTCATTATAATTAGTAATCTGTACTCCTTTAAAAAATGTATTATGCTCAAACAACAGTTATTACATTTTAAATCAATTTCGTTTTTATTACTTATGTTATACCGTTTCAAAACACCTCATTCCCTCTTTCAGAAAAAGGGAAAACCCTCAAATCACAGATTTCTACAGTTCCCCAAAATAATAAAATTCAAGCGTTGATCATTTGTATGCTGGTTTATTATTGTTTATGCGCCTAATCACTAAAATTAATTACTTATAGTACAGGCATTTTTATTTTGTTGAATCTCAGCTTTCTTTTGTGTTTTTAAACTTGCTGGAAGAACAAACCATTGCAGAAATATAATTGAAATACTGACCCTACAAATTACAAGGTTGGTGAGCAAAAAAAAAGGTTGCAAACAAGCGGGTGCGGGGGAGTTGCTTATGTGGGTGTGGGGGGAAGAGCTGGAATCGAGAGCGAAAACGTTTTGTACCATAACTTGCGTTTAAATAAATCTCATTAAGCTAGCGCGGAAAAACAAACGAAAAATTGTTGGCTAATTACAGAAATAAACTATTTTACAGTTACGATAATCATAAATTAATAACTAGGACACGAAACTTTATCGAGAAAATTGCATTTAGAGGACCGCTTCAGGTCCGTCTGCGTTTACTTTTTATGTTGCCATCTGGGGTGCGTCTGCTGATGAGAGGTAATGAGCCAAGTCTATTTTGCTAAAGGATCCTGCCTAGAACTGCGACATTAGCAGGCTGCCACCGCCGCCGCCGCTCCCCACGCCCCCGCCTCCCCCTCCGCCGCCACCACCCGGACCGCCGCTCGTGCCCAGCACAGATCCGAGGAGACCCCCGCTTGACATCTGCTGCTGCTGCATGGGCATCTGCTGCTGCTGCATCTGCATGGACGATGAGAAGCTGTTCATGCCACCCACAACGCCGGGGCCCATGCTGGCCCCCAGGCTAGACAGTCCGGGGCCAGGACCTCCGGCCAGCGATCCCAGACTGGTGGCGCCCATAACACCTGCTGCTCCACCCAAGCCCGCTCCTCCGGGCAGCAGACCAACGCCAGGCTCCGGACTCTGGTTCTTCTTCTTTCGCTTCTTCTCCTTTTTGCGCTTCTTGCGCTCCTTGTCGTCCTCGTGGCGCTTCTGCTTCTTGTGCTTCTTCTCGTAAGTCTCCAGGCCGGCCGAATCTGCAAGACGGGATTCGTTAGGTTAGATGGGGACCGATACAAGTCAGATTCTGCCAGTGAACTCACCCAGTAGCGTAGATTCCTGTCCCGTGGTCACGCCGTCTTTGTGTTTGTGCTTTTTGTGTTTGTTTTTGTGTTTTCGCGCAGGTGTGACATATGTGGTACGATACTGTTCCGGCAGCTGAAAGGAAAAACGGGTGGGATAATTTAGCAATGTAAAAATGTAGTAGAGCCAAGAATAAATATGAAGATTTGTTCTGTTGCCGTTTATAGACTTTGTGCCATAACCATGGGAATAATTTCAAATACATATGTAGATGTTCAATTCATGCTTATTATAGGTTTATTATTTCATCAGAAATCATAAAAGCAACATCAAAATGTTGAAAAAATCCTATTGGAAACATTTGCATGATTGCATTGCGTTGAAGTGTGAATTTGGCTAGTTTTAATGTTTCCCCAATTGTTAAGTTAAAGTTAATTTGTCGTTGTTTATGTACACTAATTTTGTAAAATAAAAATGGAGAAAGTTAAACTTGAATTAATTATGGAACGCTAAAAAAAAATGTAAATCGTTAATCACAAAAAACTTGGTCACGCAAAAAGGATAGATAGAATCGGTGCTTGGAATTGAAGAAAGCGGAGTAAGGGCAATAAAATATTATTGGAAACACCAACCGGTCCGGGATGCAGGCGGAATCCGGCCAGCTGGACGGGGGTCAGCGGGAGGAGCTCCTTGCCTCCGATCGGCGGCTTTTCGATCACGCTCCGCAGCGTGCTGTTCTCGACGGGATGCGTGATGAGGTCGTTGATACCGGGGATGTTCTGCAGGAACGAGGCCAGCGACTCCTTGAACTTCTTCTCCTTGAACTTGGTGAGGGTGTGGTGCAGTCCGTACTCGGTCATGAGATCCTTGTCGCCGGTGAGCTCCGCCTTCGCGGGCGGTTCCTTCATCGAGTAGAACGGCCCGGTGTGGATGATCGTGGGCGTTTTGCCCAGCGAAATGGTTGTCTTTAGGGTGCCGGAGGAGTCCTGGCGGGCCACTACGGGGGATCGGCCGCCGCCGTGGGGCGATGACTTCGGGGAGTCCATCATGTTGCCGTAGTTGCTCATCATCTTGGAAATCTTGCGATTCTTGGCACTCTTGGCAGCCCACGCACACACTCGCGCCGCACGCACACACACGGGCACGGGCACAGGCACAGCAACAACAAGGCAAGGCCAGCAGAAGGTACGCCTGTCGCGGCTCTCTGGCAACGCCGGCCAAGCTCACACACTGCAAAATGCGCCGCGGCTGCCCGGCACTTCGGCGGACTCTTTTCTGGTCGAAAACTCAATTAACTATCTGTCCTTGTGGCGTTTTCTAACAGATTTCGGGGGCAAGTCTCGCCATCTTGTTGTGTCCGCGAACAGGTGTGACCGCATTGCGACAGCTAGCGAAATACTGAGGCTGCCGCGAAAACGCGATGCGAGCGCCGCCCGAAAATACCAAAAGTGTGCTGGAAAATACCGAAGCTGGCGAATACCGCACAGAGTTGCAGTGCCAGTTATCGAATACTCATCGTGTACGATTCAATACTTTGTTTATTTTAGTATTTTAAGTTCAATACCAACAACACGTTGGTTGTTGCCTATAATATTAAATGATTTATAAAATATATTAAATGATTTTAAAATACAGCGATGTTCACCAAATACTTTTCATGTATGTAAAATGGTTGGGTTAAGGTGACAACATTTTTAAAAGTAATCGTACAAATAAAAACGTACTTTCAATTAAAAATTAAAATCGTAAAGTAGCAACCATAAGTATATTTTATATTTTATTTTATAAATCGTAGGTCAACAACCGAATGAGAATTCCCCAGCACTATCGATAACTCGCTGGCCGTCATATGACCACTATCGAATACTATTCGCCAGCCCTGCGACCGCTCCGAGCTCCACAACACGGAAAACAGTCGGAAAAACACATCAAATTAGTGTTGTGTTTGTAGTTAAATAACGATTATCCTCTCAACTCGCCCGCTCCAGCCATGCAGTTCACGCTTCGCCATGTTGTGTCGGCAGTAGCCAAGGTAAAAATCGGCGGATTTTGGGGATTCCGTTCCCCAAACGGCTGTCGCCCCCAAGTTATGCAATCTAACCTCACCGATGGGGTCGTGAAATGGTCAGGAAAAGCCTGGAAAATGTACCTGGATCACCTGCAGTGCTCATATGATCGCAGCGGGTGAATCACTGGCGTCTGGGGGATTTGTTTGGCCCCGTTTTCAAGGTCGCTAATTGGGCCAATTATCAGCTGATAGGCGGCCGAAGATTAGTGCGAAATGCGTGCGGCTGGCGTGACAACTGATAAGGTCACAGAACCTCTGCTAATCGCCTCTCTTTCCAGACTCCTCTGCGCACCAATGCCGCCATTCTGGGCGCCCTCAACGCCCGCTGCTACTCCACCACCCACGAGGCGGACGTTGTGGTGATTGGCTCCGGCCCTGGTGGCTATGTGGCAGCCATCAAGGCAGCCCAGATGGGCATGAAGACAGTCAGCGTGGAGAAGGAGGCCACTCTGGGCGGCACCTGCCTGAACGTCGGCTGCATTCCCTCGAAGGCGCTGCTGAACAACTCCCACTACTACCACATGGCCCACTCCGGGGATCTGGAGAGCCGTGGCATCAGCTGCGGCAGCGTTAGCCTCGACTTGGAGAAGCTCATGGGCCAGAAGGTCAACGCTGTTAAGGCCCTGACCGGCGGCATTGCCATGCTCTTTAAGAAGAACAAGGTCACACAGCTGACGGGCTTCGGCAGCATCGTCAACCCCAACGAGGTGCAGGTCACGAAGTCCGACGGCTCCACGGAGACGGTCAAGACCAAGAACATCCTCATTGCCACCGGTTCGGAGGTTACCCCCTTCCCAGGCATTGAAGTGAGTGCGAAAAGATGTAACACTCGTGTTATTTTATTAACCCTTTTACTATCGTTCACAGATCGATGAGGAGGTCATTGTGAGCAGCACTGGCGCCCTGAAGCTGGCCAAGGTGCCCAAGCATCTGGTTGTCATCGGCGCTGGCGTTATTGGCCTGGAGCTGGGTTCGGTGTGGTCGCGTCTGGGCGCCGAAGTCACTGCCATCGAGTTCATGGACACGATCGGCGGCGTGGGCATTGACAACGAGGTCTCCAAGACCTTCCAGAAAGTGCTCGTCAAGCAGGGTCTGAAGTTTAAGCTGGGAACCAAGGTGACCGCAGCCTCGCGCAGCGGCGACAACGTCACCGTGTCCGTGGAGAACGTCAAGTCCGGCGAGAAGGAGGAGATCCAGTGCGACGCCCTGCTGGTCAGTGTGGGACGTCGTCCCTACACCGAGGGTCTGGGTCTGGAGGCTGTCGGCATTGTCAAGGATGACCGCGGCAGGATCCCCGTCAACGCCACCTTCCAGACTGTGGTGCCCAACATCTACGCCATTGGCGACTGCATCCACGGACCCATGCTGGCGCACAAGGCCGAGGATGAGGGCCTCATCACCATCGAGGGCATTAACGGCGGTCACGTGCACATCGACTACAACTGCGTGCCAAGTGTGGTCTACACGCACCCCGAGGTCGCGTGGGTGGGCAAGAGCGAGGAGCAGCTGAAGCAGGAGGGCGTTGCCTTCAAGGTGGGCAAGTTCCCCTTCCTGGCCAACTCGCGCGCCAAGACCAACA